TTAGGTATACTGTGTATACTTAGAATTTTGAAAAATTTAATTCAGGCATTTTTATTTCGTATGGATTGATGTTATATGCGACGAATCATATCTCCAGATTTAGATGTTCATCCATACGTGTACAATTTTTTATTTCTACGGCAAGAAAGTAGATTACCTAGCACCATCTATAAGTTACTGTTTCCTTGGATAATACATTATAACTATCTATTTTTTATACGTTTTACAAGATATTTAGGGTATTTTATTTATCTGTCCTTAATATTTTATCCGAGATCAATTACAGTGACTGTCAACACTACTTATAAAAATTATTAATATTTTTCGGCGCCTTCGTTTATATGTGGGTGCTACTGTATACTTTTATGGTTGATCTAACTTATGATGCGTGGCAAGAACGAAGTCTATTGTCAATTCCTTTGATCTTGCAGAGTCGAATAATATTTACAACTTAACCTTTGATTTTCCGTATTATCAAGACGGTCACAAGTAATGATTGTTGCTCCATTTTTCCAACAATGGAACTTACTAGAAAATATGGTGGGTTTGTGACACTGCAGCAAACTGGCTTCACTAACAGCAGTAAATGATTATGATAACGCATGATGATGTACGCGTATGATCAACTATTGTATTAAGCTTGCTTCTATATCTTATAAATTTAATTAGCATATGCTGTAATATAAGAATGAAAAATTTACAACAACATCAACGCTTTATACTGTAACTTGCTATAAGTCAATGAATAGCGATCTTCGGGGACAATAACCATTTCGACTATAAGAGCATATTCAATTTAAAACTATTCACTTTTCCATATATTCTAACATTATATTTAGGAAAACGATGCTGGCTAAATCTAATATCGTTACTTCTGTATGCATAGTAGTGATTTAATATTATGCCCCTTGAGTAAGTATAGAAATGATTTAGTATAATGCCCCTAGAGTAAACATAGTAGTGATTTACTATTATTTCTCCCCAATAAATGTAGTGATTTATTAAGTTTTAAATAATAATAAACCAAAAATTGTATGCAATAGCCATTTCTACAGTACCCACAGTTGGAGATAGACGCAGTTCTACCTTTTCAGCCCATAGTTTGAAAGGGTCAGGAATATATCCTCATTTCCCTTAACAAGGCATATTAAAATTTACTCTATATTGACACCATTATCAATGATCCTCCATAGTCGCCGTCTTTCTATCTTGTATTTCCTCTTCATCTATCATGACATGAGCGTAGACAAAATAAATTCACCGGAAATAATCATCCAAATGCTGTATTACTGTGAAATATGTGACTACAATCTGTATTAATTTTGGCCATTTTGACAACCGATTTACTGCTATCGTGATGAAATTTTTTGCGCTTTTCCTGTGTGTGTGTTTATTTAATTTCGAAATAGAGCTAAAGCCAAGAGATTCTGATAAATTGTTGTGATTATTTGCGAATGATTCTTATACAGTAGATAAACCTAGAGGAAGTCATCACAAATTTTACTCTTTTACCTTTTGTTATATGTATATGTGTCAGCTTTTATTCAGAATGAGCTCTAAATTTACTATACTATAAAGGAGGTCATTAGTAATTAAATTTTACGATTTAAAGAATAGTTTATGAGTTTAGTAAAAGCAAAGATTTACATAGATGCATCAGTGTAAATAGATAAGGTTGAAGGAACCATTTCCGTGTCTTTTAATATTGAAATCAGTCGCTGAATTCCATTTCCTTTAATTTTTCTATTTAAAAAAAGTCATTTATTTCCGGCACAAAACGCATAGACTTTCAATAAAATCCTTTACTGTTCTGTATTTTAGAAAGCTCATTAACTTAGTGTTGATAGGGAATTTTTATGTAATGATCCTTCAAAGTTTTTTTTTAAAATAGACCTATTTTCGTTACAGATCGGAAATAGATATTTTTGAAATACCATTATTTCTTAGATATTATTTCCTCATTCAGATGCTGGCGTAATAAGCCATATATAGTATCTAGCTTTAACGCAAAATGTTGCTTTCCTAAAACTGGTAATATAAAATTTGTTTAACAAGATTGAAACATGCTGTAATTTAAATACTTTTAGTTATTTTTTTATATCTAGATAATTTTTAGAGAGTTTATAATCCAAAGGAATAAGAATTCTGGTTATTTAAAGTTATGAAAATATTACCGCTTGGCGCAGTAGCATTTCCGTTGTTTATAAAAGTTAATCTTTAGTAATAACCGTAATAAAAAGTTATAATTTTTCTGCGTGTAGTACATTTGGCGTGGTCATTGTTTATTTTTTTAATTATTGCTCTATTTAATACTAGAGCAAATCAAGTCTTCATGGTGGAATGACCAGTCACATTACAGAGGAGCTGCGAGTAGTTTAACTGGAATTGTAGTCGCAGAATTAATGTTTGATTAATCTTCACAATTAATTACCGGTACTGAATCAATTAATCAACTAATAAATTGGTTGATGTTAAATCTCCTGTACACAGTCGTATTAATATTCATAATACAAGAATAATATGTAATTCATTCAGCAGCTGATAGATTAGTTGGTATTGAACCTCTTGTACTAAGTCTTACTAATTTTCCTAATGTAGGAGTGGTACAAATGATCAAATAGCTAATTAAATATAGTAGATTAGTCAATATTAAATCTCTTTTACTAAGTTTTACTAATATTCCTTACGCAGAGGTAAAGTAATTGATCAAATAGCTAATAGTTTTAACTGATATAAAATCTCTTGAACTAGGTCTTACTAATATTCCTAAATTAGAAGTAATATCAATGATCAAGTAATTCATAGATTTATTGATATAAAACCTTGCACTTTGAAATATATCAACGAACAAGCTAGAGATTATCATCAGAGCAATTAGTTATTACTCATATAATCGAATTCACACAATATCAGCAAAAAATCTGATAGTAAATTTTACTATTGCACTAGACTTAATACGCTCAAGGAATTATTGCTTTAAATGGTCAGTTTTTAAGCATTTCAATTCACAATAATGTTGATTTTTTTAATTGTTACTGTTAAAAAATATATTTAACTTCCCACCCACATATTCTTATTTACTGATTGTCATATAGTAGCAATTTTTGTGAACTACATTATTAATTGAATAGCACATGCCAAACGCGAACATTTCATGGTTATAGTTATTTTCCTAACGTATTTATTAAGAATAATGACAAGAGCTGCAGCTGTTGATTTTAAAATTCTCTAAAGTATCTCTTAGGATGTCAAATATAAATAACCTTTATCGTAGAAATTATTAAATCGACGCATTTATTAAAACATTTAAAATAATTTCAGCAAATACTACTATAAAATTGCAATTTTGTAACGTTCGGTAAAGATCTACTTGTAGTGTCAAATTTCAGTTTATATACATTTACGTGCAATATACTCTTACCATACAATACAGTGATAGGTTTTTCAATATTAAAGGTTTGAACTAGTTTCGATATAATTAATTATGGCAGTTGTTACTGGCTAAATTGTTTTCTGACATCTTATAATCGTATATAATGGAGATCTAAGATTACTACCAATTACTGGCTATCAATTTTATTAGCCAATAGTGTGTATGGAGGTTGTTTCATCCGGAGATGTCTCGTTTAATTTCATAGTAGCCTAAATTATAATTTCATATGCTGGATTAGAAATAATATGGGAACAGCTGTAAAACTTGTCCCTCAAGCGCCTGAGAGTGTCAAGTTTTCGAAAGAAATTACTCACTAATAGGTAGAAGTAGTAACTTCTTACCACGTCCTTTACGCTAGTTCCTTGTCACCAGATCAGAAATGACAAACTAAAAGTTATTTTTGAACTTTGGACGCAAATTGATGGCGTGGTAATTATTTTCGAGATTGTCGCCTTCCAATTTGCAATTACGAGAACACATCAAACGAACAGTTATATTAATTATCTATCACGATCAACACTCAGATAAGTTTGAGTTTTTAAGCATCATTTATTTTGGCAGGTACTAAAATCAGACTATTTTTGTAGGGTAATCCATTTTTGCATTATTATATTATCGATGTATTAAAATTGTCTTTGAATTCCATAACTGATCAACGGGCCCATAATTTCAATTATCAATTAATAAGATAAAATTACCGTATCATATAGATGGGTATAATATAGTCATTAGCAATCATCTAAATCCAATTCTATCAAATATATGCCTATCAAGGCAATCAACCATAGGGTGAATCACTACATGGTAATATCATGAATGGGTTTGAAATCCTTAACTTCTCTTAAGACAAGAATTACATTAGCACATCACTCCAAAACAAAGCTTTATATAGCCGTCAGCTATAGCCTTTGCAGTACATAGGACGAATATAGTACAAATCCACCCTTTCATCCTGCCAGCCTTAATAAATTTGACAAAGTTATCTTCTATGTTGATAATTTTCCCTTAATCGACGTAGGCTTTAAAAAGCTTTCGACTATTCTACTTCCCATAGTACTTTGCTTCATTGATTTTATTATTGCACTATCAAAGCACGTTATTACTGTACTGTAATTAAAAGAGAGGGACAGGAAAGAACTCTTTAGTATACTCTACTCAAAATAGACAGGCCGACTAATTTGCTGGTCATTTAACTAAAATGTCGATATACACTATACTGTCCACAAATTGCTATTCAAATGAGCTGCTTGATTGGTTTTGTACAGTGTTGTATAGAGTTTCAGTAGTAGTGTAGAGTAACCCTAACTAGTAGGCTTTGACATTCTTTTGCACTAAATTTTCACTTCTCAGTTCTCTCTCTTCTAGTATTGGAGTGATAGCTATTGCAATTTGAGGAGATTATTGGCAAAGCGTATTTTGTAAGTGAAAAAGTTTTAAATAACAAAAAGTACTGAGTACGGTATTGATATTCGAGTCAATTACTACAGGCTTTTATCTAAAAAATCATGGCGACGAAAAAATTAATTTGACTATGTGTGAATATTTTTAAAGGAAGAGAGTTGAAGCCATGTGTGATTATCTTCAAGGTAATATTATTTCATGAATGAATAAATAGAGGTTTTAGGTTCTCTATTAGATTAATTCATTTACTAGATTTCTTAGCAACTCCCACTTTTCTCCATCAGGTTAGTACATGCACATTGCACAGTGATCTACTTACAGCAATACTTTATTTTGTAAAGTTACTGAAATTTCATAATTTTTGTTAATTTGTAGTCTATATGCTTTTATGACACTAGGATAACAAAACTTGAATGAATGATTGTTCCTATATACGTACGGTGTTTATTAAATACTTCCCTTCAAGTTAAAACGCTAGAATTATTACAGGCGTCAATAATAATTAAAATTAATTAGTCATCAATCATCACAAAAATTTAAGATTATTAATTCTCATCATTACAAAACTTGAGCTGAGCAAGTTGACCATATTAGGGGACTTGGCCGGAATTATTATCTTCTAATGCTTCATAATCAACATGACGTACTGTCTTCACTAAAAAAAAATAATTCATAAAACTGTAAATGATGTAAAAATGCTTTACGTGTTGCTGTTAAAAGCCATAGTCAATGACTAACTTGGACCCACTATGTACTGGACATTACGTAGACCCAGATATTTCTCTATGATAAACTGTATCTAGAAATGCCACTAAAACGTCTGTACATCTTCAATACCGCACAGTTGTCCAAACATATCTGCCAGCAGTTTATTTGGTTAAAACTTGATAAATTTGCTTAGACAAGTATCATAAAGGATAGAGCCATTTCATTGGCATTTTAAGATATAATGACTGACTTTGACCCACAATGTACTGAACATTACAGTAGACCCAGCCATTTCTCTACGATAAACTGTATCTAGAAATGCCACTGAAACGGCTACACATCTTCAATACTGCACATTTATGCAAACATATCTGCCAGTAGTTCATTTGGTTAAAACTTGGTAAATTTGCTTAGACAAGCATCATGAAGGATAGAGCCGTTTCATTGGCATTTTTAGATAATATCATAGAGAAATGTTGGAGTCTACTGAACAGACTTTTCCTTCTATCGGACCCATAGAAATATCAAAAATATTATAGTATCGGACCACTATTTCAGGAATGTTGCGAGCTCTCTATGCTGGTTGAAAGCTCAAATTCTGTGTGTTCAGCTATATAGTGCTGCCTTTAATTAGATCATCCATTTAATTTTTCAGGCCTTTACTTTCAAATTGGCTCCAGTTCCTCATCAATCGATTATCATAACCTTAAGCTCCTTAATTTAATTAATTAATTAATTAATTATTATGAACTATGCAGTCAATTTTGCTCGGTGTGGAACTGGTCCCGAACGAACCGTCCTTGATTGACGCACAAGATGGACATTATCCAACAGTTCTAGCACTATTCATTAGTCTAAAAAGGTATGAATGAAATCGCTTATTTTTTGGAAAGATTTCTGCTTAAAGATAGTCCTCAGCATAAGTTGAGTTCATTAAAAGGTCCATGATGTTTTGCTTACTTTTAACCACATTATTAAGTCATTTTTTTCTTTGAAAATTTCTTATACTGTACAGTACTGTACAGTACACTACTGTAGACTGAGTGTAGACTGTAGACTAATAATAATAATAATAATAATGGTCGATTATTATAGCCTAGTACACGAGTACCGGTACCGTACTATGGTACTAGCGAGATTTTCTTTTTCGCAGTCCAGTCTCCTGGACAGTGACAGAATGACATCTGGACGCACTGCAACAAGTCAGGCAGTCATCTCTTGACGTCATTGAGATACTGCACTTTCATTGGATACTAAAAATTTAAATTTTCAAATACGCAACTGATCGGCCGTTGATCGATGGAATGCAACTGCTGCCAAGGGGGCTGAACCGAATCTGACCGGTAAGCTATATAACCTAAAACAACCATCGTGGGGCAATCATAATTACTGTTAGTCAGATTGATCTTGTCGACGCAAGGTTAATAAACCACTTCTAGTCAAGATAGCTTTGCTAGCGGTTAGTTGATTTTATAGTTTAGCGACCTGCAGTGCCATTATTTGAATACTAAAGTTAACCAAATAGTCGTGCAAAGCAGACAACTCGTCCTTGTCAACTTCATTAATCCATCCAATCGCTCATCCCTTGATTAATCATCGTTTAACGGGTAAGAAAAATGGCCAAATTGAAATTCATTCTATCCACGTTGAGGCTTAAGGAAATTGAAATTTAAAACTTTTAAATAAAATTTGACCAGTTTCTCTTATTAATTATCAGCTACAACAGTCCTAGTTTAGCAACTGCTTTATATTGTACTAGTGCCAGTATTTTTACTCGATACGGATATGTATCCGATGGTTCTATTGATCACCATTTTACAAACAATCCTAATCATTTGGTTAAAGTACAGTATTGTTCTTTTCTTCACTGGACGCAGAAACTATGGAACAGTCCTCATTCAATAGTGCAGGTAAATATGGTAACGTTGTCTTGATTCGAAGAAACGGAACTGAGGGATCTAAAGTGCCATTAATTGATAAGCAAAGCATTTTTGGCAGGTATGTTCAGTCAATTATTTCTTGGAAACAGCTTTATTTGCATCTTAATAACCTCGAATAAAATCAAGCTTAAATATATACGCGTACAATTAATAATTATATAATCATTTATTAAATATATCCACATTGTAGCGACGACAACTGCGATATTCGTATTCGTAATGCCAGTGTTCAGAATCAACATGCGAGAGTATTCATCGACACCAACAACAAGGTGATGTACCATGTCAAATACACCATGATGCTAAATAGTCAATTGTAAGGCTACTAATGTACAGTATTGTACAGTGCTACGACAGAATGATAAAAATATAAATGTTCGTCGCCTTGATATCATCATAGACGTATGCACAGTAAAATCAATTTTGAATTCAACATGTTATAAAAGTGGCTTATCATAAATAGACAATCATTATTACTGTAGTTAAGATAAAGTAACTGTAGAATCGATATATACGCGTATCACAAAATATTTTCTAATTCTTTACCTTTAATTTATTTTTATCAATGTCAAACACATGCAGGCTTGGATAGAGCGTTTACAACCTTCAGCACAGATCCATGTAGCCGGTGAAGCCCTCTTACAGAGGCAATGTCGAATAAAAGATGGTACTAAGATTAAAATTGGCAATAAAACCTTTCTATACAAAAAAAGTGACATCATAATAGATACACCTAACAAGCAGGTAAATATATAAGATGATTGGATAAATATATATTGATTCGTAGCCATCATTTTATAAACAAATAACAAAATAGTGATCATCTTTCGTCAAATCAAGTAATATACGTACGCTCTTATTCTGGACCATTCAGATTGAACGTGATTGTACTGTATTGCGTATGTTCTTTTTTGACTATCTGATAGAAATAAACAAATTAATGTACTCATAGCATATAGATATTTATATCAAGTTTTGCTAAAAATTGAGCCAACTAATGTAATGCATTATGACTGATTGTGCTATACGTCTAGGATGCCATCGATGACAAGGAGAATATCTCAGGTCAAGGAGACAGAAATACTGGCATCTTAATACCTGGCTTGGAATGTCAACAACAGCTTTCAGCTAAGAAACTCAAACAAATTAGGAGAAGAAGTTTTAAGTTAGAAGAAAGCTTCGTAGACGATACGGACAGTAAGAAGCAAGATCAAATTGATATTGTCCTTACCCTACGAAATGATTCGTTAACATCGGAGTGTAAGCAGCAAGCAAATATTGATCTCTGAGATTAACACACTTCTTAGCAATGACCAATTAATGAAAGATCACGGTGATAGCAAGGTGTCCACTTCAGATCAAAGCATGGATGATAGCTTTCGATTAGATGGTAAAATTAAAAATCGCCGATCTAGAGGAAGACGCTCATCAACATCCTTTCCAGCTAATAATACTACTGCTGAAAAAAAGACTGAACAGAGCAATAGCCAAAATAATGATGGATCTGCAAATGTTCGTTCGAAAACTCCAGAAAAGAGGATTCTGAATGATATTACTTCTGTTGATAGTCTAATGAAGACGGTTGATGAATTCTTTGCACCGAAAAGGAATCGAAAAAGTGTAACATTTGGACCGCATTTAAGTCCTGAATTATATAGTAAGAAAAATCCGACTGATACTCCTGTAAAGCGAGGTAGAAAACCAGTTTATACTCCAATGCCTTCTGCTGGTAAAGTAAAGAGTCATAGCAAACGTAGATCGATACTTAAAACTCCCTCTGTAATTGCTCTCGATGAAGATGAAAAGGAAAGCAATAGTTTAGTTGATATCGTTTCTACGCTAACTTTCGATAGTAATGACCTAGTTTCCTTGCAAGAATCAAATCATCAAGATAAAGCGGAAGATAATATAGAAACTAGATCTTCAGCAACAACAAATCATCCAAACGATAATAACTCAAGTCAAATCTCTATGGCTAATTCTTTGGATCCGGAATTGAAATTTACAGCGGTATCTCAAAATGATGACCCGTGTATTACTAAACGCAGGTCATTTCGAACCAATATAATAACGAGACGACATTCAGCTGAAACTTCAAGACGGCAGAAAATTTGCGATAAAAGTAGTGTTAAACGACGTAGCAACGCCTGGGTACCTACTTTGTGTGATAAAAGAAGCGATGATATAATGATTACTGGATTGTGGAAGAAAGATACTCGAAAGAGGCGTTCATCTCAGCAAAACAAAGCTAGTCAAGATATCTGTAATGATAATAATCAAGATAATGACGTTCCTCAATCTGTACCATCGGTAAGTCTTTCTATTATAGCAGTTTAACCTTATATTAATTAATTATATTATTATAAACGAAACAGTCATGATATGGGAATGTCATATTGATATTTAATTCGCATTCCAGGAGATGGAAAACTCAACACCAGATAGGTGCTTTGCAGAAGCTCATCACTTGATTAAAGATCTCTTCGCCACGCCAAACACCGATAAACTGAATCACCAGCTTATTATTAATAATAATGTTGCTACTTCAACTGAAAAAATGATTCAACCTAATTCTACCACTGAAACCAACAATGTTTGTAAAACACCAATAAACACTCCAACAAATAAACGTCGATCGAAAAGCTCAATGAAAAAAAACAGTAAGACATTATATGAATCTTCCTTATCAACATTGCTAAATAGTAGTAGTAGCAGCAGCTCAACAGATGAAAAAAATACTCCTATTGAAGTCAATCAGCAACAATGCATGACTCCAGCATATGAGATTGGTAAAGCGCAACAAAATCCAATCAATTTATTAATGTCAACTCCAACTTTCGTAACACCAAATGGCCTTATTATTGAAGCAAGGTCCATTAATCAATCAAATCTGAGCAGCGTTCATGATACGAATGAAGATGAATATGAAGGCAATACATCTCAGTCCCAAAATCAAGAAAGAGGTAAGGCTATTCACATAAACGATAGAAATAGTACAGAGCTACTTTAGATGTATAATATATAATTCGATGGACAAATAAAATAAAGTCTAATGCTGGAAATGTATCTTTTTTAATAGTTGATATACCTACGAAAGTTCAAGGGGACATAGTCTCTGTTCAAGACGATTTGCAATTAGGCAGTATTAGCAATCTCAATAAGAAAGAATGCCAGTTTACTACTGTTGATAGTGATCAGCCACTTATTAAACCAAGGCGTGATAGTAATCATTGGATACCCACCATAGGTGGTAGACGTGGTGATGATAACTTAATAGCAGGAACATTTAGAGCTAATACAGCTAAAAGAAGCAGTTTTAGGTCATCATCGGTAAATTCCATTAATCAAGACAAGTATCAAAATGGATCAGAATATGAATCAGTTAGCGTTGATTCGTTACAGGAATCGGTTCCTATTAATAATAATGATCAAGCCATTACTGAGCAATTAGATAATGCTGACAAGACAACAATTGCTGTTGATGAAAGCAAAGTGCAAACAACAAGTGAAGCAATAAAGTCTAATAATCTACTAAGGAATTCGATTTATAATCAAACTCCTGTTAAAACTTTGCCTTCAGATTATGATTTGGAAGGATTGCAAAATCTCTTTAAAACGCCAAAGTTTAGAGGTAAATCTTCTGATGAGAATTTGCTTGTTTTAAAAGAATGGCTTAAGACACCCAAAAATCAAAGAGATATTACTATGGAACCTGCTTACGATGGTTTACAAAAGTTACTAAAATCCTCTAAGATAGACCGAAAAATTTCAGATGAATATTTGCATGTATTAAAGCATTGGTATAAAACTCCCAAAGGTGCTAAAAATCCTCCGCTGGAACCCGTAGTAGATGGAATTCGAGAATTATTCCAGACACCTATTTTTTCTAAGAATATTGCCTCTCCAATGAATGAGGTAACCTCATTAGAAATATCCAATTCTGAAGAAACTTCATATCAAATGCAAACGCCAGCGAAAACAAGTTTTAACGAGAATGATGTTGAAGGTTTACAAAATCTCTTTAAGACGCCAAGCTTGAAGCATAATTCCGGTAATGAGAATTTATTAGTTTTAAAGCAGTGGTTAAAAACACCAAAGAGTAAAAGAGATCCCGCAATGGAGCCAGTGTATGATGGATTACAAAGACTGCTGAAAACGCCTAAATTGAAAAGCCGATTTTCAGATGAGTATTTATCTACTCTTAAGCAATGGTTTAAAACACCAAGAAGTGTCAGAAATAAATCGCTTGAGCCAGTTTTTGATGGTCTCCAACAATTATTTGAGACACCTAGCTCACTAAAAGTCGCTGACTCTGCAGAGACAGAAATTAAAACTACACTCGATAGTGAGATGACGGCAATGGATACATCTAATTTGGAAGAAAGTATTCATCTTAGGCAAACACCAGCTAAAGTATCTCTCGAAGAAAGCAATATTGAAGGTTTACAAGATCTTTTTAAAACACCAGCATTTAATAATAGTTCGCGTAATGAGAACTTGTCAACTCTAAAACAATGGTTGAAAACACCTAAAAGTAAGAGAGATCCATCGCTAAAGCCAGTATTTGATGAATTACAAAGACTGCTTAAAACACCTAAATTGAAAAGTCAATTTTCAGATGAATGTTTATCTGTTCTGAAACAATGGTTTAAAACACCAAAAGGCTCAAAATGTACACCACTTGAACCAGTTTTTGATGGTCTTCAGAAGTTATTCGAGACACCCAGCTTACTTAAAATTGCCGATTCTCCCGAAATGGAAGGCAAAGTTGTACTGACCAAAGTGATAACTCCAATAGATACAACTTATTCAGAAGAAAGTAATGATATCATGCAAACACCAGCTAAGGTGTCTCTCAACGAAAGTTACATTAAAGGTCTGCAAGATCCCAATGAAACACCAAAATTAAACAATAATTTGTGTAAGGAGAATTTGCAGGTACTAAAGCAATGGTTGAAAACTCCAAAGAGTAAACGAGATCCAGCAGTAGAGCCGATGTATGATGGACTGAAAAGACTGCTTAAAACACCTAAGTTCAAAAACCAGTTTTCAGATGAATATCTATCTACTGTTAAGCAATGGTTTAAATCACCAAAGCGTGCTGAAAATACGTCACTTGAACCTATTTTCGACGGCCTTCAGCAATTATTTAGAACACCTAGCCCGGTAAAATTTGCTGATTCTCTTGAGATGGATAATAATACTATACTCACTAATAACGAGACTTCCATGAACTTATCCAATTTTGAAGAAAATTCTTATGTAATGCAAACACCAGCTAAAGTATCGTTTGAAGAGGGTGACATCGACGGTCTACAAGATCTTTTTAAAACACCAAGATTTAAAAATAATTCGTCCGATGAGAACTTGCTAGTTTTAAAACAGTGGTTGAAAACACCCAAAAGTAAGAGGGATCCATCACTAGAACCAGTATATAATGAATTACAAAGATTGCTTAAAACACCTAAATTGAAAAATCAATTTTCAGATGAATATTTGTCTGTTCTTAAACAATGGTTTAAAACACCAAAACGTACCAAAAATACATCACTGGAACCAGTTTTCGATGATCTTCAACAATTATTTGAGACACCTAGCTCACTAAAGGTCATTAATTCTTCTGAGAGAAATATCATAACTACGCCTACTAGTGAGATAACTGTAATGGATGTATCCAATTCAGAAGAAAATAACATCATGCAAACACCAGCTAAAGTATCTCTCGAAGAAAGTAACATTGAAGGTCTACAAGTCATGAATTCTCCTAAGAGAAATATCAAAACTATATCTACTAGTGAGATAACTGCAATGGATGTATCCAATTCAGAAGAAAATAATATCATGCAAACACCAGCTAAAGTATCTCTCGAAGAAAGTAACATTGAGGGTCTACAAGATATCTTTACAACACCAAGGCTTAAAAATAATTCGTGTAGTGAGAACTTGCTAGCTTTGAAGCAATGGTTGAAAACACCTAAAAGTAAGAGGGATCCGTCGTTAGAACCCGCATATGATGGATTACAGAGACTGCTTAAAACACCTAAATTGAAAAGTCAATTTTCAGATGAATATTTATCTGTTCTTGAACAATGGTTTAAAACACCCAAACGTGCCAAGAATACATCACTTGAACCAGTTTTTGATGGTCTTCAACAAATGTTTGAGATGCCCAGCTCACATAAAATAGCTAATTCTCCCGAGATAGAAACTGTACCTATTATGCAACAGGATAAGAATGAGTCAATAAATAGTGTGAATGCAGATGCATTAAACGATGGCGAGATTACAATCTACAACTTACAAGATCACCTTGAACCAATTTCAGATAAAAGTTCTGAAATTTGCGAACATGCTGCTGCGATTAGCGAGCCATTAATGGCAGAAATGACTTGCGAACACAGCCCTAAGGTAAATGAACAAGAAATGAATAATCAAGATGAAGCCTTGAAATCTTTGGGATATTTGCTGAAAACTCCTCGCGCCAAATTGAGTGCACAAAGTATAGCTGAACGGGATAATATTTTGTTTGCATTGAAGGAAATAGCAAATACGCCACTTTCTAAGCAAGGTAAAGGAGATGTGAGTAAAGATCAATGCTTGAAAGGGTTGAAAAGACTCTTAAAAACGCCACGTAGTAATAAGAAAAGTGCTCGTTACAGTGTTGAAGTTGGTTTATTACCGCGATTATTTACATTACCATCTGGAGTACATACATCAGCAAGTCAACAAGAAACTATCTACAAAGGATTAAAAGAACTATTTCAATTACCTAAAGACTCCAATGAGACTACTAATGAATTTATGACTGAATTGGCGGATTTATTTAACAGCTCTACTTATATTAGTGAGCATGATCAACAAAATACGGTTGAAAATACAAGTCCGACTTCTAAAACATCAACAACTGCAGATTTTATAGATACCGAGACTCACAAAGGGCATGTTAGCCTTGACACTAAAAGAGATGAAATAGTACTTTCTGAAAGTAAGCAAATCAATACATCACCAAAGAACGTTGAGACAGCCACTACTCTTAAGAATTCCACATTGCGATGCAAGCGTGCACCCAAAAGCACCAGAAGTAAAGCGACTAACTCAAGGCGAACAAGTTCACGTAAGGTCAAGTCAACTAACCCTGATATTACAAATAATGTCATTAGCAGTGAAGATTCAACCTCAACGTTAATACGCACTGGTGGTAAGCGTAAAATAAACGATGCAGTTACTGAAGAACCAAGAATGAAAAAATTAAAGAAAAACAATCATAAGGCTACGAAACGTCTTTACAAAAGCGAACAAGTTGAACAAAAACTATGGAATAACGTAGTTTTGATGACACCTATAACTGAATTATCTGAAAGTGAAACGTCAAGTTGTAAGAAAAATGATTTGTCATCACCGGATATCGTTGCAAAAGGAAGGAAAAGTAAAAAGGTTATTCGCGATACTAACAAAGAGAATAAAACTAATTTGATTTATGATTTGGGAGAAGTAGACCATACATCTTCAACCAATATTATAGACGCAAATCATAAAAATATGACCCTAGATTCTGATAATACGGCAGCAGCAGTTGTAGAAAACGGCAAGCCTACTAGAATTAGTAGGAAACGAAAAATTGTATCAACAAAGAAAGCGGATTCTGAGTGCTCAGTTACACCTGATGGAAAGAATGTAATTGATTTAGAGGTAAGGTTAGAAAATAAAACTACCAAACTTACTCCAAAGCGAGAAGCTGTTAAAGAAGGCGTGAGCGATCATCCAACAAGTACAAGAAATTTGCGACAGAAAAAGTTAGTCGAAAAGGAGCCAGAGCCCGTTAAAAGGAGTAATGCAAGAGCAACTCGTACAAAAAGTAAAATTCTTGAGCAACAAACAATTAACAAAAGTATCCAATCTGATCAGATTTTGCCAAAAAAGACTCGTTTAGCACGTAGGAAAGATGAAAATGCAACTGAAGAAGGATGTAAAACTACCACTGAAACTACAAGTAAGGAAAGCATTCAATCTGAAAAAGTAGTGTCAAAAAGAAGTCGTTCTGCCCGTAAGATAAATGAAAATATAAGTGAATTGGCAAGCGAAACTAATGCTGACGAAGCAAATGCTGGTAATGATGAAAAAATAAATTTATGTAAGGACGTTGATAAACAAGTTGAAGTAAATGAAGAGGCTCCTGTAAATACAGTTACCTCACATGCCATCAGTACTATCGCAAAAGAAGAAGATAAGGTTACTGCCTTTGTGCTGCCAAAACGCAAGAGTCGAAAGGATAGTAAGAGCTGTGATGATAGTCAAGATGAACGTCAGAACCGCACATCAACAAGATCGTCAACTGTAATCAAACGTGAAACTAGATCATCTACTCGTTCTGCAGCTCCTAATGATTCTAGTAGTGACAATGTAACTGTGGATGTAATTCCTGCTTCTACTACTGGACGAAAATCAAGACGTACGCAAAAAAAAGATAATTTAAGAACATCTGATACTACCCACGACAGTAGTGAAGAAGGGAAACCTGTTCTTAAGGCAACCCGGAAAGTTAAAAAATTATTGACTGCGACAAAAGAGTCATCATCCATGGATAATGACAGTAAATCTAGTAATATAGATAGTGCAGACAGCCAACCAGTCCAATCTCGACGATCTCGGCGATTGGCGAATAAGTCTGTTCCTTTAAATTGATGGGACATTAGATACTGATTGTAAATAAATAATATGGCCAATTATATCACAGTATTGTATACTGGATGGTAGATATAACAGATCTTATTTTATGGTTGTATAAGACCATGCTCTAATGTATCATATTATTAGTTTATATCTCCTTTTTTTATCTAATTGGCTCCATCTTATTGAACTAACGTTATATTATGCATTCATGTATACGTATTTTACGGTAAAATAAATGATACTTCATACATTAATTAATAGCCAAAGTAATAAGTAGCCTTTCTTAAATTTTAGGAAAGTTTTTCTAAAGTTTTAATTTCAATTTAACCTTATGGTATATTTTAAGATATATCACTTCATAATTTGCCAGTTTATAGATATCATTATGTGGATTCTGAGATGCCTAGTGGATATTGTTTACTTTTATAAATGTTATGGTTGGTGTGTTAACATGACAACAAAACTATCCATTGCTTTTAAGAACAACTTTGTGTCAAACCCTGTGATATATGGTTCTCTTAGTATATCGACATTGCTACAGAATGATGAAATACAAATAAGGAATCAATACATTTAATGTAAGCGCACTGTGTCAGTCACCTTAGCGATTACTTGCATAGGTGATTTAGATGCATTTACAATAATAAACATTATTTGATCCTACGTAATAGAAGCGTCTTTGTTATTGAGATTTAACAAGCCCAATTTCTCCATTTGAGACCTTGCTTACATACTCTGAGTTGTTGTAATCGATAGCAATAAATTCTATAGTATAGAATACTGTTATCAATATCCTATTCTATTTGATCGAAACATACCTTATATTGAGCACAAGAAATTAATTAATTTTTGCAGATTTATTTGCAGAAGGATTTTGTTTGCTTACACGATACGTACCATATTAATAATTATATAACTATGAAATTATTTTGACCATAATTTTACTGCCTTACTATATATGCTAGCAACGTAAAAATATCTCAATTTCAGTTTGCCTTTACTAGATTTGATGACATAACACGGATAATATAGACATGGAGCTTGTTGTCAGAGGTCGCGATATACAGTATTTCATTCTATTACATTATGTACATTTATCACGTCTAAATCGTTACTCTATTCCTCTTCATAAATACTCTCGGCCGCTACCATTAAAACTGTGTAATAGATCATCTATTGCATCTGAAGGGATCTACAACTAGAACGAAGATTTAGGATAATCTATTACTATTTTGTACAAATCGGTATTTAAAAAGATCCAAGTTAAATATCCTAGATCGAATAATTGATGTCGCAAACTATGAACTTCAATAAGATTACTATTCGAAAAACTCTAAGTCAGGATCAAGGACAGAAAGCCCGTAGCGATGCCAGTTAACTCGATATTTTGGCAAAGTTACAATTCGTAAGGATCCAATTTAGGATTAATCCTGGAACGAGGAGCTGGCGACACTGCTTTTTTTCCATTCTACAGAAAATGTTGGAGTTCATATAACATTATTAATCTTTAAAGTCCTCATATCTATTACATTTCTATATTATAGATCATGAGCTGATTAAGATTTATCATCATTTTTAGGTACATATTGTAAATTAATCAGAAAGAGAAAAATATTACTTTACGATTTCGTTCCGTTGGGCCTGTATTTTTGGCGTAGGCAGCCGCATTTTTTTCGCTTAGTCGAATCTATGGGAAAATTAGAGAAAAAAATGAAATTTTAGTTGAGAATTTAAGCTCAAGTCATGACAAGATAGAAGGACTAAGCATTAGATATAAGATACCTGAAAGTCACTTTTTTCTTTTGCCCATCGACGTGCATCTTCTATCATCTGTATAACAAATTTAGAAGGTCTTTTAACAAACGCACTATTGACGATAACGACAGAACTTTAAATATGACGTCATTACCTGAGCTTCTAGTGTTTTATTTCTTGCCTCTGCTCGATCGAGCTTTTGATATAGTTCTAGTCTTTCTTGATTAAATTTAGAATCGCTGTTATTTTTTTCCTTCTGTTCGTATGGAATAGCAGAATTTATGTTAATTCACTTAGCAAGATGTTATTTTCCTTTAAATTCATATTTACGTATGGGGAGTAAAGATTAGGGAAATGCAGTTTAATGGTCTCTTTCATTTTCAAGCCTGGCATACCTCTTTTTCAAGGGCAATTAATAATTTCCTATTTTCGATTCGAAGTACTTGAATTTCGTTAGAACCTAGTCAATGGAAAACATTCGCTTTAAAATAAATGTTCAAAAAGATTGTAGTGGAATAAAGTAGACTAAAATGAATAAAGCCTATTACAAACCGCTTTGACTAGGTTCATCGGCATTAATCATCAGTTCCATCTTTCGTATAACCTATTATCCAAGAATAAAGTAAAAATAGTATCAGAACATTTTCTGACTATCTATGTCTTTATATGCTAGCTATAGTAGTTTAAATTCTTATGTAACAAATTCGATTGATGTTTACAGGAACTTTTCATGCAACACATAATTTAGGAACGAATAAATTAAGGGATTTCTGCACAAATTCCGAGTTAGTGAAGGTTTTTCGGGCATTTAAAAGGATTAAGTGTCTAATAATTAAATTATTATATATAATACGCATAGTTATGCAGAAAAAAGAGCTCAAATGTAAAATAAAAGTGTGGCAAGATTTTTAGCGGATTCGTTTGAGACAGTGTCCTATAATTTACATTCATTCAGTTAGCACTTGTATATAGAGTTTAAGGTTCCAAAGTTTAATTACTCTATTTCCTATAGAAGTTCAATTACTATTGTAGTATTTATCCATGTTTATATTACTTTACTAGAGCATATAAAGTATGTTGATGATCATATAATTGCCTTAATGAAAATTTAGGGACTACAAGAACGGAGTAGAACAACGTATGCAGTATATAATAAATTTACTATTACATAATATTTCCTATCAAACATATCCATCACACTAATAAAAGTACTAGATTTATCTCATATTACGCTTGAAGAGTCATGCTGAATACTGAAATATCCTTGTCTGTCGATAGGAACTGTAGCTACAATTACCTTTTCCTGATTTCGGCATGTATCCTTCCATTTTTGAACAATTCTGACTTTGTCCTAGTACGTATAGTTTAATAATAGAGTGATCAACTAATGAGAGTACAGAAGATTTAATTTAAAGTAGTAAGTACTTGTAATTTCTGTAATTCTTTCTGCTGAAGTTGATAGGACTTTTCCATAAGAATATAATGTTTTTCATTATCATTTTTCTATCAATAGGCAAGAAAAAAGAGAATGAATTAATATCCTTGAGTTGGATTTATGATTCTGTAGACAGTATTAACCAATTTTTGTAGGTTAAAACACCAACATGTACGAATATTACCTTGATTAATGTATTTTGTAAATCTTGCACTTTTGCTTGAAATTCACGACATTGAATCCCTTCCACCATATACTTTTGTTGTAATGCAACTGTTTAAGTAAACATAGGGTCAGGCTACTGTATTTTGCTATATTCAGGACGTTAAATATTGAACTTAACGCTAACAATTTACCATATTCTTGTACAAGTTCGTCATGTGGCACATCACCTACATAGTCCTCGTCGATAAGGCCGGAGCCATCATGATTATTAGCTAATTTCCGACGTAATTTTTTATTCTCATCCTGAAATATTGCAAGACATATTGTTACTTTACGCTAATACCGTAAATACAGATTTAAAATCTAGAATAGGAATGATTTAAGATCATTTATATAAAACCATATATTAGTAAGATTTAATTGGATCAAGATAGATTCTGCCAAGTGAATGTTCTAATGTTTGTGAATAATGTAGAAAGAACTGGTTTCTAAAATTAAAGAGTAATAATCCATCTCTAAATCTGTTCAAAGGCTAACCTTTACATCATTTAATTCATCTTTCAAGGCATTAAGCTGCTCTTTTAATTCGTCAACTTCCTTTTTGGTAGGGTCCTTATCGTCAATAATTGAATCATTTACATATATGCGTAATTCTTGTAATATTTGCTCACACACTACATTATTACAACTAGCTACATTATCTATTTTTCCATTTATAATTATATTCATTTAGCAAACATCCGTAATTCACAGGGGAAAATACTATTCCTGAACGATACTACTACGCTGGCTATACCTGGATGCTTGATCTAACATATGGCGTTATTGGTAAAGGTGAAAGCCTATCACTTCTTGCTGGAGATTGTACTGGTCTTTCTTGTTTAGCGGATGAAGGAAAGAAATTCCTATTTCCCGCAGGCGATCTTTCACGACTGTGGCTTCTATTAGCTGAACTTAACGGTCTAGCTTCTTGGTCATTTCCGTCATCTCTTTGTGGTTGTTGAGAAGGTGAAGACGATACTATTGGCGATGGTTGAGTATCCTGAGCAGGAGTTTTAGCAGCATTTTCCGTTTGCGATTATAAATAAAATTATTATAGATAAACATTATTATAATATGATCATAGTCCACTAAATTCTCTTTCAGTCTACTGCATGATTTATGCCAATTACTTCTTTGTGCATTACACTAAAATTTTATACCGTTTAGAGTAGCTGTAACATGATATTGTAAACTAATTATTTATACATTATGGTAGAGTTCCTACCTTTGAATATTATGTAAAGCATAAGTGTAAGCCTTTTTCGAGTAAATTAAATATAAAAATCGTACCTGTTTCGAAAATAACTTCGCTGTAATTTTAATTTGTTGCGGGGGATATGGTCCGAAACTTAGTTCACTTTCAGCTCCCTTTGCCAGAAAATATTCAATCATCTCATAAACGGATGATATACGAGTTGAATTGTTAAGAAATTGATTGTTACAATAACTTACTTGAATAGGTAAAGTTTTAGTTACAGTATCGGACTGTGATAACTTCAGTAAATCTTGATTTACGTCAAGAAAGCAGTAAGCGAAAGGTTGGCTAACATCGAAACAAGTTTCTTTTAATGCTATAGAAGTGAAGCACAGTTGGATAAAATTTGTTTGTTAGGTTATTGTATACGTACGTCATTAGATTGATCAAAGTGCATTTCTTTTACGTTTCATCGTGGTAAAAACTTACTTTCAGCAACAGAATAAAACTCTATTATAACTCCTGTAGAGTCTGATGATATTTCTTCAGTTTCGGAGTAGAATGTAACTTGGGGTATTTCATTTTCCGACATTTTCCCTTCTTCCTTAATAGATGAGGAAATCTAAGTCATAAAATAGGTGTAAATAAAATTAGATATCAAATTCATTCGAAATTCAGAGAATACTACAATCGTAGCTAGATCTTAGATATGAAATAATCCTATCTTTTTTTAATAGAAGATGTGATCGAGCCCAAAGTACTACCATATAAATCTATATATCGATTTTGTTAAAGTATTATTGGAACAGAGCTATATCTTTAAGATGAAGTAATCGACAGTTTTTGCGCAGTTTACTTGTGGTGGTATATTGTGTTGGGGGATTATAGAAGCTAAAGATGAAGGATGAGGTGATGGAAATTGAAGGGTTGTAAACGAAAAATACGCTTGTCGTGGTTTGCTCTTTAACGTAGAATCCCTAACATGTGAATAAATAAAATATATCAATACTATAATTTTCTAATACTTTACACCAATGATTATAATTATAATTAGCAGGCAAGTCCATACAGGTAGTTTTGGCAGTCTGGTAAAAGCCTAACGACAGAGAATACTGGATGACTTGGATCGCTGTCAAAACCGTTTAACTGGATCTAAAAAAGGAAGTTTATAGCAATTTAGAATGATCACGCCGGAAATTTCACTTAAAATAATATCTAGCATTATCGATTGTGATAGTATTAGTAGATTACTATTGTTTTACCTCTAGTCCGTAATTATTGTGTTGAAATAATTGCTGAGGTAAATCAGCAGGTTTCTTGATTAAAGTGACATAAAAACGTGTTTCAGAAGAGGATACCTCAGACGGCTATAAATATTGCATCAAGAGCGAGGACAAATGTACGTACATTAGTAAATAACAACAGTACAAATCCTACTCTATTTCGTATTGGCTATTAAAACCATATTTTAGTAATATATTAGATTTACTTGTACAAGTTCTAAATGATAGGATCGCATGGGAGAGAAATGCACCATGGGTATGAGATATTCATCCAATAATTCTTTGGAATTACCGTCGATGATACTCAAATTTAAAACTATACAGATAGAGGAAATGAATGAAATTTGGTCAGAATTAACGATCATTTTGATCTTGAATTCATACACATAAGTGATATTGTTCAGCTCATTCTTCAATTTTTTAATGCTATTACTATATAATAGCATAGTGGGCTATATCAGATAAGCAAAGTAGTGTAGATTAAAGTAATAAATAGTTATTTATAGTATAGTAGACGAGTATATGCTAACTTTTATCTTTAGATAAAAGAGAATGAACTGAAGATTAAAATATTGGATAATTCATTATAGTATAGTTAACGAGTAGTGGTATATACTAACCTTCATCTTCTTGTGATTGTAAGTTCTCTTCAATCACCAAAACTTCATTCCAAAATGGGGTATTTGTTGTTGTCATAGTAGCTTTGGTAACTGCACTTTGATGTCCGTATTTTCTATATTATTAGTACAGAAAACACAAAATTAAAAAAATCAATCAATACGTGTAAAGAAAACATGAATGAGATATAGTACATACCCTAATACATAAGGCTGGGGCTGACCAGTTGATGCATTTGAAACATTTGTGGCACAATAAATGCGAGCCAGTATATACTCTTTCTTGCTGTCTACTACCTTTTGGCTAGCTAGGTGTAGAATACTACTTTGATTTAGAGGTAGAGGACTTTCTGAAACCTACAATTGAGTTATCAAAAGTTAAGAAAGAGCTAGCATGGATGGATGAAGATGTAAATATGGACTTTAAATATATTACTAAATATGAAGATATTTAACACAGATTAAGACTATAGAATGATATAGTTGGTTTTTCCTAGTGTAATGTTTAAGATACAACCTTTCTCGCTTGATGAGGTACCGGAGTCGTTGCATTTTGTGAAGGTTCTGCTTTATGTTCATCCTGGACAGTATCGGGTACAGTGTCGGGTATAGGTGATGATTGTTTCGATTGGTCTTCAACTTTTGGAAGTTCACCTTTTAGCGAGGCCATCATACTGAGTTTACCTACATTTTGTGGTGTACTGTTACTACTTGCAGCAGCGGTACTGTATAGTTGAATTTCCCTATGAATTATTATAAATATTTTGTGGTCACTGATGCAGACGATGAAAATAAAGTACTTTATACATTTTAAGTTGAAAGCTGAAGGTTTACTTGCATTTAACGTGTATTAAATGGATAAAAATTAGTTAAAGCAAGATAAGAGGATTTAAGCAGTTGTAGATATTACGGATGCTTTAAAATAATTAAAAATTTCTATGAAATTATTGAGTGAAACTAGAAATTACTTTAACCTACTTCATTGATTTAAATTGGCACGATGCAGTGATTAATTAAAGTATATCCTTTGATAGAGTCATTAGACTTTAATTTACAGTATTTGATTGCTAGAAGATGAGTCTACCGATAAATGTTTTATTTGCGGTTTCTCTCGGTTGAATAAAGTACTGTAATATTGTTACTATTTTAAGAATAAAGATTAGCTGTAGGTAATAAATCAGTGAAATACTGTACATATTAACATAGACCAAGCAGAACAATACTTGTATAGTAAGTATAAATGACATTATATAGCTGTCAAGTAATTATTTTAAGTGTTCATTTAAGTCATTTGAGTTAATTATCTTACTCTTGTATTTGATAATATTTATCAGCATCAACATCATTTCTCTGGCGTGGATAAATTTTAAAATCGCCTTGGGCGTACAGTGTTTCTGATGTATCGTGTTCGTCTTGGTTAAGTTCTCGATTAACGGTAATAACAAGTTTTATTTCTTGCCGTTTTGTAAAATCTATAGTATAAGAATTAGGACATAGTGATTAGTAGATTGAAGGAGATAGAAGAAAAATTTATACTATTAGCTAACAGATATTGAGGTATTAGTAGTCATAAGTAAGATGATAGGCTTCTTGATACACAAAAGCTAATTCTCAGTTAGATCAAGATTTTTATAAAAGTTGATTTACCTTGAGGGATAGCAAAATTAAAACTACAATTGGTAAACTTGGCGATTCCTTGAGTATCAAGTTGCTGAGTATCGGTAGTAACTTTTCCAAATGCTTTAGATCCACCGGAATCGCTGGTGATGATAACAGTATCTGAACCTTGTCCATCTAGAGTAAATGTTACATTGTAATTACCAGAATCGCTAAGTTGAACTTGTTGTATTTGAATGTTGAAATCAATTGAATTAGCAAAGGCTTGAACGGCACCAAATTCCATCTTTCTACACTGCTTGTATTATTATAGCTTTATCGGTCAATATTTTTAAAATTCTAGATTTAAATCTTTATCTAAATCAATCGATACAACGATAATCTATGGCCACATTATGTTAGAATCGTCCCTAGTCTGTTGGTAATAATAGTGGGCGTTTGAACTCGTCATCCGGTGAGTTAATAAAGTAGTGCGTCGTACGTATTTATTTTACATAGAGTTTAATTAATCTAGTGTATCAGGGCTGTCGATATCAGATATGGATCAATATGATCATAATGGCGGAAAATCACTAGATAAATGATATAATCTGCAAACTTGAACTAAATGTCCTCGTTACTAAAGCCGATGAGATTGCTTCGAGATTGGATGAGATGACGATAATATTCGATCCAAATCAGTGTATTGTAATGGTAATGCAATCTCTACTTTGTTACCTCTATATTCTATACAGTACACAAGTGATTTTTTAACATGTTGAATAAATGATAGCATGATTATTAACTGTATAACAATTTGACTACTTGGAGTAGTAATACAGTATAAGTGTATCAAGCAAGATTCTTCAGCCTGATTGTGATTACCCAAGTTGATATTGTGCATTGATAGTATTCCATTATTGACAGACAATGAATTCTATCATCATCCACTCTATTTTTATGATTCAATCTCTGCCGTGGAACTATATTTTAACTTAATAGAGATCCGCAGCAGTAGTTACTAGCCATAGGTAGTATAGTAGATGCCCTACCCATTGCTGTCGCGGTTGTCATGGTGAAGAATAAGTTATCCGTTTGTTTACTACCTGTTATTTGTTATGTTGATCATTTGAAACGTTATGACAGGGATGTAAGCTATTGGAGCCGTTATCAAGCCAAACTAGCTATGGAAGGGCACGATAGAGTAGTGCATGCTTGTAGTAGAGAATACCAAACGAAATTTGGCTGTAGTTTTCGCCTCAATGAACTAGGAACAGTGATTGAACACCGTGTGCAAAACTTGACGACGTTGCGATCCCAGATACTTTAAAATAAGATCAATGACTTTACTGTCAATGATACAACACAGTACAGTGCAGTAGAGACCTTAAAATGATCCTTATAGGCTCGAATTGAGGGCCTCGACTACAGCGCAGTAGAATCCACTGCAGCGCAATTAAGTAACTAACTCTACGCTACGCCATGCCTACTCAGAAGTGCTCTTGAAACAAGTATAATTTAGAGAATGAGTAGCGTAGAGTTAGCTAATAATGGGTCAATAGAACCGTTTGAAACTGTTTCCCTTGACAGCTTCCTGATACTGATGCTAGCCTAATGTAAACAGCACCATACTGAAGTAAAATTCAGTGTGCTCATACTGTATATCAATATGACCGTATTCAATTCGGATCACAATGTACTGTACGTAGTATAATAATGTGGCTGATATCAGCACTTTTGCATACTATTTTCATCCTTTTTATTTTTAGAGTATGAATATGACATTATTAAACTGCAGTAGGCAAAATTGAAAACAGCCTAGATGAAGTGCTGCTAGGAGACAGAGATCAGCAGCCTTGCATACGACGAGTATTTTCCATCCTTTCCTTTTATAACATTAATATGGAATTTATCCTACCTGATATGACACTACTACAGTCGATAAAATTGAAAATACAAACTGGCAAGCAGTGCAGCTTAGGTGCAGTTCAACTTACAAATTTACTAGTAGAAATAATATTTAGAAAATTATTTGTATAATACTCCATGATTTGAATGGTTTTAATTTTTATTTCTTGAGTAAATTCCGGTTCATTAGACATGCACAGTAGACCTTCAGATTTGGACTAAATGTTTAGAATTCATCCCTATGGTGAAACATCTCAAACGATGGTTTTCCCTTACTAGAACTCATCTGCAACATTGCAGCTAATTGTATCAAGATTTAGGGTGGTTAGTTAGGGTGTTTATCTTGATAGAATTAGCTGCAATTTTGTAGATGAGTTCTAGTTCGACCTGACATTAAGGGAATACCATCGTTTTAAGACCCCCTTACTAACCCCTAACCCTAACCTTAAGACGTTTCAGCATAGGGATTTCAAAGCATTTAGTCAAAATTTGAAGGGTCTACTGTACAGTACAGTACTGTAGGTTACAGCACTATATATTGTGCTGGACGCTACGACAAGTCAACTGAACCTACTCCAGTGGACGTTCTGCGCAAACGCGTCTCGTCTACCTATTGTTTATTGGCGGTCAGTTTAAATCTGAAATTCTTTTCAATAGAAAAACGGTTGATGTGTGCAGTCGTACGTTGACGCTTGACTTCACTTGACCCAAAACGTCCATTACAGTTTATGCCTGTTCATCGTCGCCATTAGCCTTTGCCTTGCAACGCCAAATCATTTCCTTCTTCTTCTTAGATAGACGAGCATCCATTAGAATTGTTCTAGGTAAGGTTGAAAGATACAATAAATGAGAACATGACATTGCTATCGTAATTGAGTAGATGTTGCAGTGGTAACGTCTTTCATCATGCGTCAATCCACTGCCAGTAAAATTCACGTTGTAAAATGAAAATGCAAACTGTATCAGTGTCGCCTGTGTCTTTTCTCGGAGTAGTTCCTGCATATCTTGTCGTTTCTTGCTACTTCTATACTACATGCCCTACCATGCGAGTATGTTAAAGATTAAAGAGTAGAATAATCCTAAAGCGCTCAAGTTTGCACCACTGTCTAACATGGTAGTAGAGAAATTTGTCTGTAAATCAATCTAACGCAGTTTATAGTAGATCAGAGTTTGCAATCAATCTTTGCCATATGGAGACAACATGTATTGCTATTGTGCTATTGAACTTTGTACCTAGTTGTTACCATTGAGATAGAAGAAAAGTTGGTCAACATTTTGGCTGTACTCACAGCCTTACTGTACTGCTATATTGAAATACATTGAAGTTTGTACCACTGTCTAACACGGTAGTAGAGAAATTTGTCTTTGCCAGTTGGAGACAACATGTATAGGTAGTTTGCTATTGAACATTGTACCTAGTTGTTACTATTGAGATAGAAGAAAAGTTGGTCAACATTTGGCTGTACTCACAGTCTTACTGTACTGTTATATTGAAATACATTGAAGCAACTTCTATTCTTGATTCTTTTACTCATTCATTGAATATTCCATCCACGAGCAGGGAAACGTGTATCCATCCTCATTGGACAAACATTATTAATAAAGTAAGAAAAGAAAAATGGCAAGTTCTACCGTAGTGGAATGTTTTAATGAAGCCCAACGTGGTATTCATAGCCATCCTCGATTACTGGAACAAATGAGAGAAGTAAGTTGTAGATATAGAATTCTTGCAATAGTCAGGTTGGAAAGAATTGTGACTGGTTTTAGATCTACTAGTAGATACAACTAAAAGTACTCTACCTGCTATTACTGTCTCATCATTGATCATTGAAAGAATAACATTTAAATATTAGTAAAGAACATTGATTACCTTAGTAAACCAGTCGGCAAGAATAAATCGTAAAAATTCCAGAGCGTACTTGATCTTCTATCCTTGATAATGATTTACGATGGCATCTTTACAAATAAATTAAAATTAAAACTTGTTATACTAACAATTTTAACTTACTTTGTAAACTACTATACTTTTATAGCTAAGAGACGACGGATATGAAGAATTTTGTCAAGATTTTGTTGCTGCTTTACGCCATATTTTAATCGTTTTCAAGCAAGAAGCCGCTGTTGAAAGACTAATCGATTTTATTGCCAGATTTGCTACTGAAACAGTCGGCGACTACGAAAATGACGATGATCAAACTGCAATACAAGAGCGAAGCAATCAGTTTATGATATTTTTACTACAGTTTTTATTATCAATTAATCAAGCTCAGGATCGTGGAATACGCTATCGATCTTGTCAACTAGTCTGCAAATTACTCAATAATTTAAGTGAAGATGCGCAAATTGATGATGATTTGTATAACTTAATATACGAAGCCATGCTTGAAAGACTTTACGATAAAGTACCCGCTGTACGCATTCAAGCAGTTCGTGCAGTTGCTCGTCTACAAGATCCAACCGATGAAGACTGTATAGTGATCAAAAAATATATTGAATTAATTAGCAAGGATTCCAGTGCCGAAGTTCGCCGTGCTGTGCTTGCCAATATTGCAATCAATGCTCTTACTTTACCCGAAATTATTGAACGTACTAAAGATATCAAGGAAAGTGTACGACGTGTCGCCTATCAAGTCTTAGCTGAAAGAGTGGGTATTAAATCGTTGACAATTAATCAACGACTAGATTTATTAGAAAATGGCCTAAAAGATAGATCGAAAGGTATCCAACTCATCTGCAAGGGTAAACTATTGACAAATTGGTTAGTGAGTTTAGGCAGTAATGTCCTAGTACTATTACAACATTTAGACGTTGAAAATGCCACAAAGACAATTCAATCTGTGTTAAATATGCTCTTTATGGATATTCCATTGGAAGATTTAATCGCTCCACTTGTCAGCAATGATGCTAATGTCGTTGTTTATGGTAGAGCTAAGGTCCCCAAAGAAGACTCTGTAACTAGTGAAATAGTTCTTTATTGGCGCTGTTTAACACAGCATTTAAATAGTATCGAGAATCATGGCGAGGAATACTTAGATAAAATACTACCAGAATTATCGGTATTTTGCGAATATATTAAAAGGTTTATTGCTTTACCGTATGATAAGCAAGATGAAGAATCCACTATAACTCGTGCATTCATATTGGAACAGTTACTAATGCTTGCTGGAGTAATGGATTTAACTGATGAAGTTGGCAGGAAGAACTTTCGCAAACTTTTAAAAGAGCAAATGATGGCACTTAATTCACTACCAACTCTACTACCTGTTGTGATGGAACAATATCAGAAGCTATCACCAGATTGTAAAAATTATGTTTCCGAAATTACTGAAGTCATATCTGATATTCGTCAACCTCTGGTTTCTACAAGATTGAAATATTCTAAAGAGGAAATCCGACAAATGGAACTCAAGATTGCACGTTTACGAGTTAAAATAAATGAACTAAAAGAGAAATTAGAAGAATGTGTAGCTGAAGAAGATTTCAGCTCAGCAGGTGAAATAAAATCATCGATACAAGAACTGGAGGAACAGAAATCACAATTGAAAGATGATTGCGAAGCTACGGAGTTTGAAACAGTTATAGCTCAAGATGAAAATGAAGTTGTCTATCGTTGTCTGTCGATATTTAAAGAAATGCTTGCAAATGTAACAGAAATATCGACATCTGTACATCCAATTATTAACGATCTAATGGATTCTTTGATATTGCCCAGTGTACAAAATGAAGATCCAGTTATTCGCAAGGTTGCTGTTGAGTGCCTTAGTGTGTGTAGCATCATTAACAAGGAACGGGCTCGCATTCAATTAATATTATTCCTACAGATCATGCAAGTAGATCAATTAGAAGTGAGGCTAGTGGCACTGAAGGCTGTCTTTGACTTGCTACATGTTTTTGGATTTAAGATATGCAGCGAAAGTGACACAGAACAAACTTCGGACGGTAACCAACAAAATGGAGACGAGAATAACCTCAATACCTCCAGTAAATTGTTAGCGATTCTAACAAGTTTCTTAGATAATGAACTGGGCGAAATAAGACAAGTAGCAGCCGAGGGATTTGCCAAATTACTTCTATCGGGTCGATTATCTAGTCCGAAGCTGATCTCAAGGTTACTGTTACTGTGGTATAGTCCAACGTCCGAGGACGACTTACATCTAAGACATTGCTTAGGTGTTTTCTTTCAAGCCTTCGCTCTAAATAGCAATGAAAATCAGCAATGTCTACTGGATGCATTCTTTCCTACATTGCACACAATTGCTGATGCCCCTGATGATTCTGCTTTACGAGATATTGATGCGAATAATGTTGCAGAGTTAGTGACACATTTGACGTCATTACACATTTTCCAAGCTAATCAGGAACATCAAAAGGAAAAGCGGACAATAGAAAATCTGGTGAATGTCCATGACGATCTGGCTGTTAAGATTTGTAACGAGATTTTATCTGACCACGAAGGACCCTTACTTCGCGTGTGGTGTAAAATGCTTAATTCGCTTTCAATTGATAAATTAAATTCGCCAAATGTTAAAATATTAACTGACTTGGTATTGGAAGCGCTTGAAGTTGTAAACGATAAAATATGCCTTAAAGCCTTACAAAAATTTAAACAATGTCTACTGTCCAATAATACCGACGAAAACCAGGAGAACACGGAAGAAGGGGCAGATTAATTTTTGCGTTTTATTGATATGCAACGTCATCGTAACATTAGAAATCATTGATATCATTTATCTTCGAGATGATCTACTACCTAAATAAATCGTCTGGTTGTCTGTAGATTAGCATAACTGAAAAATCGCTCTATAATTAGAATACGATGTTGATGTAACGGTTGTTTTCTAATGCATTTAAGTAAGTGTTAAGAGTACAATCTCGTTTATACACGCATGAATTAGCGTTTCTTGCTACCTTACTTTTATAAATAATTATAACCATTAATATTCAGGTATATTATTGTTATTCTAGTGTATTATACTTTTAATCTTAAAGGAATAAATGATCATACTTATACCGAGGACTGCTGTGAATCGTTCCATCGTGCTTTAGTTTAAAATTTCAGTTTGCTGGCTGATTCGTGCAGTCAGTGGGTGCAATTTTTACGTTTTACAATTTTAAATGCTTGTACTGTAAGGGTTTATGCAGTACCTTAGTCAAATTTGCAACAATAATAACATTAAACTTGTAGATTACAGTATAATCAAGCAAAGAGATGTATAGCTTTATGATGGAAACCAAATCGTAAACTGTGCACCGATATAAGTATTAAATTCTTCACTTCCGATAATTCCACAGTTAGTTACTTTTGTTGGAACGAAACTATAATGACTGCCTGTAATCAGGTATCATGGCTACTGAAAACACAGATCCTAGCTTTGGCGCATATGCAGACCTTGTTGTTTGCAGTTATACTTAGAGTCTGTTTTTTCTAAAATAATTGCTTAAGCTAGCAACTGCGGCTACCCGAAGAAGTAAAAAGTTTGAGATTATTCACGCATTGGTCATACTTTCACTTGTAATAAATAATTGATTGCTAGGATAAATTTTAAAGATTTTTCGACTATATAGAAATCATATCTACAGTACAACTATTATACCTACAGCTGCTTCTATAGTGTTTTATTATGAGGTTTTAAGAGTTTGACCTCCTACCGTTGTACTAATCCAGGCATTTCCTTCATGAAAATAACAATTATATTTCGTATACGAGTGTGTAATTATAATGGTACTGTTAATAATTACCTTCACGTCGGTAATTATGTAATTATTTATTAATATTATTAATTAACTGTCTAAATGAAAATAATGCAAAGTCTGTAATTTATCCACGAATTAATATTCCTTTTGATGTGAAGCAGTGTTGATTACTTGAATATATTTCGGGATTTAAGTACTATAAAACTGCGTTAGTTCCGATGTGCCCATAATTTTCGCTTTTCAAAATAGCTTATTTGAATAGTAAAACCACAGATATATCACAAATAAATGTCAACTGCCTCCATTTAAGTCTGGGCGATATTCATGCCTTATAATAGGGCTGGAGTATAATTATAAATAACAGTTGTACAAAGTTTAGCGAATTTCAAATTTCAATCATCTTTACCGAACGTCTGATCAAAACAGGATCGTGTTTGCTATAATTCGCTTATACATTACGAAGAATCAGCTGCTATGTTAACCTGCTAAGTATTATAACGTACGACAGCATTGTAGCTCTGCTACAAGCTTCATAAATTTATTCACTGTTGTCTGATCCTTGAAACTTAAAATTGGTAAATGCTCAAGATCAAGCAATAGATTTTTCCTGGTGTGTTATCATGAAATCGATTGCGCTGTCAACCCGTCTAAATGCTTCTATCTACAAAATTGAAGAAGCTTGACACAGCTCAATCTAGCTAACTATTTCGTATTTTGCTCCAGATGGATATCTTACATTCATCTATTGCATTGTTTAAATTAGATACGGTTATGTAAAGTGGGCATTATTCTAACATAAAATACATTCAACTATATCATAATAGTATTATATTGTTTATAACCTTAGGGCTAAATGCTTATACATTTCAAATGAAAACTTTTCTGTTACAGAAGTATCCATGGCAACAACGCGATGCGCTTGCGTATAATATCTTGATCACAAAACGATTAGGTGACTAATTTCGGTTTATGGCTAATAACGTTAACTTGAAAAGGAGAGGTAGTCTTAAAGGTCTAAGTCATAAAATTCTATTAGGCCAAGTACCAATGCCGAAAATAAGATCATCATCGACAAAAGAGACAAGAATTAGGCGTTCATCAGTAAGTAAATTTGAAAATATTTCGATTGATAGAAGATTTAAAAATCAATGTTGGATTCGTCCTTCAAGATTATCAAAATGTTAATCGATCACGCTATAGTACTTGTCTGTCAGCGATCGGTTTGCCATTTAAATAAAGTCTCGATAGTCCTAAGTTTGTCGACATTTAATGCAGACTATAACTTAAGCACGGTAGATTTACTATCAGTAGATGAACTGGATATCGAGAATTTCATATTTAGTTGAGGACTTTTGTCAAAATTACGCTCTAACTATTGATCGCTAAAGCAATTTGACCATTATGACGATAATGATAGTTATTAGACCAGATAAGGGAGATATTCTCGTTCGAAAAAGTTACTTAGGTGATGTTAGTTACAATATTGAAGATGTTTAAATTGGGACATCCATTAAATTCCTGTCGATTATACACTGACATTAGTAACAAGATACTCTGATGATGTAAAATGGATTAATGAATACATATCTTGGAATAAGGACTGGCGTTGAATATAACGATATATACTTGTTCTTATTATAGCGTGATGATGAAAGTGCCGGCATCGAAAAGCCAGAATCATTTGTGTTTAAGTATTTAACGCTTGAGCAAACTCAAGCACTACTTGAACTAAATATTGATGTGTTACAGGAGTAAGTAAATGATTGATTGCTATCTATATCGTCATAAGTAAGATCCAATATTCCTATATAATGCTAATAATGAGCAATCTCTTGCGATACTAACGAGAGTGTTACCAAATTTTGCCTAGGAAAATGTCTGAATATTTACTTCTCGATGGCTACGAGACTTCCCTATCACAAGTAATCGTATTGGATTATTATGTAGCCGGATTATGATATCCTCTTCATGACCAGTAGCTAAAAAGATAAATTCTTTTAAAGCTATATCTATTGCCGCACAATCATTATAATTTAGTATTACTGATTGGTTATTATCAACATTTTGACAATTAGATACGCATAGACCTAGTTAATTCTATTAATTAAGCTAGAATGTAATATTGATTTTACAGTACCAAAATGATGGCCGTTATTATAATAATTAATAATTAATCAAGATAGTTTAACAGGGACACGAATGCAATAGAATTTCAGTAATGGCTTGGAATGTGTATACCGTAAAAAGTGATGAAAATTATAAGAAATGCCGAAAGCCGAAGCCAATAGTCAATTTTTAAAGTAAGAAAATTGTTCCATTTTTAAGATAGCTTACAATTAGATGCCAAAGCCTTATGATGGATGTTAGGATAGTACTATGTTCGACTCTAGCTTTTGATTCTTCCTTCCTTCTGGTGTAAAAATGTAGGCTGTATTTCAGGCACTGATAATTTGAAATATGACACAAAATTAATAGCGTAAGAATTAAAGACTATCATTTATGTCATTATGGATCGGCTATGTTATGCGATAATGATGTTTAAAACGGTGATAAAATATTTCAGTTTACAATACATGCAGTTATAACAGCGCGACCGGTTGTAGCCAAAACACTTTTATGAGAATATTTAGCGTCAGTTCTAAGATACGCTAGAACGATTATTTAGGGCAAAGGGTGAAGTTCATGATGACAAGAGTGATTACTATTAGGCTAAGGATGCATTTAATGATCAATAAATATTGAATAGTGTTTACCTTAACTAATGCTACGTTCGCTAAAGAGCAAGGCTTTTCTCCACAGCAAGGATCAGGGTTCTTTACCTTGCTGAAAGTATTACTGGAAAATATTCAAGGTAACTATTTTCAAAGCTTTTGCTGTAATCTATCTTCGTGTATTCTAGGAGTTGATTTTTCATTCTGATCGATAAGAAATTAATTATTTATCATTTACTACTACTATAAATTAGTGCTTGATATGTCGGGTACTATATCAAGCTTAGCTTTCAAATAGATTTTAGGAATATTGGTAATTTACTCCTCATGCTATCTTGAATTAATGTTCAATCTTCTCTTGACATTCTGTTTAGATAAAAAAATGAATTTTGAAGAAAATATGAAATATTTTAGACAGTTAATGTCAACAATAGGAGAAATATACAGTCCATTAAGCTGCTTTGATAATCAAAACAGTAAAGTAATTATCGACTACTTTATGACATCGTAAGTAGTCACAAAGAAATGCTACTTATGATATTCAATGAAGTGAGATTTAATTTATGTAATCTAACTTGCGATATCTTACAATTGTAAATTAGCCTTTATCAGCACTATAAGCTGTACAAGAATTTCTTTACTACAGATCAAGAGCAAGAGAACTTACATTTAGCGGTAAGTATACTGCACTTTATCTGGTTAAAAATCAGAATTTGATCACATAGCTACCATCCAATTACTTTATCGACTGCAGATGAATTTCATTCACAATTCAAATCATCATTATTTACGTTTTATTGAACTCATCCTATTTCTGGCAGTATGATATTGAACATCCGCCTATTTTGAATATCGACTATCCACTTCCAATGGATGAAGGTATCTCAGAACAAGTGCTACAGCTTGATGAGCAAGCAAAAGCTGAAGAAGCTGAAGCACAAAAGGTATAGGATCATATATTGTGTTACTCGGCGAATGTGCTATTCAGATTATTCCAGTAAAGTCTTATGCAGCTTCGTTAATTAATAGGCAAGGGAAGAGGCTGAATTACTAGCCGCTCAAATAGAAGAAGCCAAAGATGAAGGTATTGCTACATGGAAGGATTCCATCTGTTCTGTTTATGAAATAAAAAATTATTTTGTTGAATCATGGCAATAATACATTTAAATGAATGATAGGGACTGTAGAAGAGAATAAGCAAGACGAAGTTGAATTAGTCCCAGAAGAATCTACTTTGCCTCTAAAGGACGTGAAGGATTTAATTAAGACAGTAACCAATGACGTTTTAGATGGATTACAAGTAAGAATTATTGCCTTTCTGATCTTTCCCTTATGTTATTAGATAGTATAGTATGTAAATGTTAACCGTTAGATGCATTTCGGTATTGTGCTAGCTGCTAATTATAATACTTGTGTAGGGACAAGTGATACTTTTAAAAGTTATCCTTGATGCATTTTAAAATCTTTCTCATTAGGTTGATGTTAACCAGAAATTACGAGACCGTGAAGCTGTTATGCTTAATAAAATCAATCGTATCCAAAATTATTTAAGAAACTAATCAACTAAGGCAGCAGTAATTTCATTTTATGTATAAAATACTAACTATCATTATATGCTATGATTCGCTTGGAAAATTTCGTATCGTTACGAGTTGAGTACTTGAAATCAAAGGCGAGGAGAGAAGTTTCGATAGATGTTTCTGTCTTACCTCTTTTTAATTATCAATGATCAAACTTGTGTAGTAGCAATATAGACGTTGTTTAATGTCTGATATTTGCACTATTTGATAAACAGAGTTGTTCATATGGCGATTTGATAGATTGAATCTATTCTCGGTCATCTTCTATTTGTTTGTATATTATATATTGAATTGACAATGATGAATTTGTTGTAACTCCATTGTATAATACTATCCGTTTAGCGGTTAATCTCAAACTGTATAAAATACTTTCGAATTTTTATTCAAAGATGAGTCATCACTTTTAATCTACTTGGTATGCTAATGAAAGGTTTCCTTTTAGCGGTATCAGAGTTTTTATATTCGTAATTATAGCTATGAAAACAATAAAATCAACGTATCAGGAAGCAACTTCGGGAATACCTAAAACCCTTGTTGTTTATACGTGTTTATTATTATTAATCTATAATCTCGAATCGGTTGTTCCTTTTTTCAATGGGTGTTTGTACACGATTTTCGAGCTGGATTCTAATAGATTGTTGCATTGACTTACTCGACTAGAACAATATCATTTTCTACTGTTATTTTGATTAATAATGTGTAATTTACTGTAATAACTCGCCGACTTGTAGAAAATAAGCATGCAATAGTCGATATTAGTAGGCATATCAGAAATCCCTTCGAACAGTCCAAATGCTACAATGTCATATGACTTATATCCGTCATTGTGGTACGAAGTTAATCGAAATAGCTTTTAAGCATGATATGTCGACGATATTTTCGGCTTATTGACACATGTGGAATTTATGCATGTCATTACAAGTCCGCAGCAGATATAGCTTGAAGACTACGAACTTTAAACTTGCACAGATAAAAAGTAAACGATGAATTCCATCTTTAAGTAGCGCAGTTATAGTTACTACTAGCAACAAATTGAATCTGATTATAATATAGTCCTGTATACTGTATTATCTCAATTAATGATTGCAATTATTCAACATTATATACTCGTATACGCTTATAATTATACTATCATTATTCCTGCACAACGACGTTCGTGCATATCTGTCATAACGCGGTAAGTGGGAAGGTTTTAAATTCTTGTACTGTACTAAATCATGGACTACGAGATTGTATACCTAGCAGTGTCCTGCATTTGACTAAATATTTTGCCCTTTCGAAATTTTTACCCAATTATTTTGTCCACCACCTATCCGCCAGCACAAAAATCTAGTAGGCCATGACCAAGTACTGTACAGTGTTTTGTTTATAAAGAAAAACATGCCCCGTCCAATTCTTGTTCTAGTCGATGATACATGAGCAAGACTATTGTACGAGAGTATGTACAATGTACATTTATACACTAAGTAACCGCAGCATCCGTAATGTTGCGGATTGTTGGCAGCTACCAGATCATCCGCAAAGGTAAGAACTACACACGAAATGGTATACACAGCAGGTCTGTCTTTAAGAATGTCGTAGTTTTATAAATCAATAGAAAGACACTAAAACATTTCAAATAGATGCTGATCATTTCCCTATTACAATCCTATCGAGTCCGTGCCGAGTATACTATCACTTAAAGTATGGCCAGGTTATGTCGACTCTCCAATGGTCAACATGAAATCATCAATCACCGTCATCTGAGAAAATTATACAAGTATCAAGTACATCATGGGTATATTTAGGCTGACGTATTGTGCACTGCTCAATAATATAGGGAATTTCTAGTCGATTTTCCTTCAAATAAGACGGTAGATTGAAGAATGTTGGATTCTACGGCCATTGCAAATTGGCGCCGTGATGATTCTTAGCACACACCAAGAAGATCAGCAGATAGGATCGCAGTAACATAGCTACGATTGCCTTATTAATGGTCAGCATGAAATCGTCAATCACCGTCATCTGAGAAAATTGTGCAAGTGTCAAGTATATCATATCGGATATACGGCGCAAACAAGTTTCTATAATCCATATCAAGTATATCATGGGCATGTTTATTAAGCTGTCGTCTTGTGCACTGCTCAACAGTACAGTATAGCTAATTTTCTAGTCAGTTTTCCTTCAAAGTAGGACGGTAGATTGAGATTCTACGGCCATTGCAAATTGGCGCAGTGTTGCTTTAGTTAGCGTCTACTTTTCATTGAATAGTCAGCATAAAATAGTCAATCACTGTCATCTGAGAAAATTGTACGAGTATATCATGGGCATGTTTAAGCTGTTGTATTGTGCATTGCTCAATAATATAGGGAATTTCTAGTCGATTTTCCTTCAAAGTAGGACGGTAGATTGAGGAATGTTGGATTCTATGGCCATTGCAAATTGGCGCTGTGATGATTCTTAGCACACACCAAGAAGATCAGCAAATAGGATCGGAGTAACATAGCTACGATTACCTTATTAATGGTCAGCATGAAATCGTCAATCACCGTCATCTGAGAAAATTGTACAATAGGCCTGATCATTTTGCATAAATTTTTTTATACACTTCGTTTAAGCTGTCCTACTAATACATTAGACATGCATTGACATTGTACAAGTATATCATGGGCATGTTTAAGCTGTCGTATTGTGCACTGCTCAATAATATAGCGAATTTCTAGTCGATTTTCCTTCAAAGTAGGACGGTAGATGGAGGAATGTTGGATTCTATGGCCATTGCAAATTGGCGCTGTGATGATTCTTAGCACACACCAAGAAGATCAGCAAATAGGATCGCAGTAACATAGCTGCGATTGCCTTATTAATGGTCAGCATGAAATCGTCAATCACCGTCATCTGAGAAAATTGTACAAGTATATCATGGGCATGTTTAAGCTGTTGTATTGTGCATTGCTCAATAATATAGGGAATTTCTAGTCGATTTTCCTTCAAAGTAGGACGGTAGATTGAGGAATGTTGGATTCTATGGCCATTGCAAATTGGCGCTGTGATGATTCTTAGCACACACCAAGAAGATCAGCAAATAGGATCGCAGTAACATAGCTGCGATTGCCTTATTAATGGTCAGCATGAAATCGTCAATCACCGTCATCTGAGAAAATTGTACAAGTATATCATGGGCATGTTTAAGCTATCGTATTGTGCATTGCTCAATAATATAGGGAATTTCTAGTCGATTTTCCTTCAAAGCAGGACCGTAGATGGAGGAATGTTGGATTTCTACGGCCATTGCAAATTGGCGCAATCCTCCTTTCGGATTCTCTCTCCAGTTGACGTCAACTAAGCATTCAACGTGCGTCATTTTGTTGGATCGTGACCGCTGATGATAGGCACAGTATGGGAATCAACGTCGAGAGTGGACTTTGTATAGTGCTTGATACTGAATAGAACACATAACACGCTTATGGTACCAACACAACTGGATTGTATTCAAATTGCGCCTCTCTCTCGCCATACTGTTCTCATAGATATTGACTGCGGCATTATGCTCTACCCTGCCAGTGCAGCTACTGTTGTAGTGACACCTGTCAGCAAGACACGCAGCTCAAAGAGTCGTTAAACGGACCGAACCTACCCCCAACTGGGTACGATAGTGGTGTCAATCGCCTGTTAAGTCAATATCAACAAGGCACGTCATCCCTAGTAGGTTGACTTGACTCGTTCATTGGCAACGTTGGCAGTGAAAATGGCGACCGCCACTGGTTTTAGGCAACGTCCAAGCAGTAGCAAAAGTCATTTAACCTCTTTTCCAAAGACTATACCCTATCAAGGTTATTCTGCTGCAATAAGGTAAAAGTAATTGCTAACTGGAATCATTTTATGCGGTAAATTCGACACCAATGTCATGATCGAGTATGGGATTCAAGAGGAAAAGCCAATTAATCATTGAGATATTCCAGTCATTCAGTGACTCCTTTGCCTAGTTCAATCAGCCTCGTCATTTTCTAGTTTAAATTCTTTCTAAGAGGATTCATTTTTTTTATCCACGTGTGTAGAAAAGTAAGGCAATCGACTGCTGTAGTAGATGCTTTCATCCATTTCCATAAGAGTTTAAAAGATGGCAGTATTGCTTCAACAGCAACAGTACACTTCGATCGATCAAGAATTGACTATGCCGTGGTCTAACGTTCTTGCTCAGTGATGGCCTCTGTAGTTGATTGATGCATACGTATGTCCTATCTTGCTGTGGTGTAGGTGTCGTTGTTAGGTAATCGATTAGTTTCAGGAATTGTAGAGTAGCCAATAATTAGCGTAAGGGGAGAAAGATTGCCTTAGCAACGCTAACTTACAGTTAATTAGCGACTTGATTAATAGTAAATTAGAACTTCAGATAGTTCATCAGAATCGAGCTGGATGTAACATTGATAAATGAATGTATCGAGGATTGTCTATACCCTATATTAAAAATAATGTTACAAATTAGATGGAGAAGGGTGGATTGCAGGTACCTCAGGTCTCTAAGCAGACTAATCGTCTAGCCAGCAATAGTATACAGGACTGTAGTCATTAACAGGTAGCTAAATGTTCCAATTCGGTTCCAATCAAAGGCCACTAATGTAGTATAGTAAAATGCGTTTCGATGATAGTCTACTGATGGCAACTAACAGTAATGAACATGATGAAAGTTCTGATGAGATAGTTTATCCAAATTGAGCAAAGAATCATGTTGACAAATAAATATAATGATAGCACCTGGTATGCTATAGATTATGTCAACATAGCTTCAAAAATATCTAGATAGGACAGCCAGTCAGAATTGAGCAATACTTGATATGGATGTAAATGATGATGGATGATGGCACCTGCTATAGTGTACACTCCCTGTACTGTAAAGATTGTATGACGTTAGTTGCATGCACATCAAAATAGGAGAGTTGATCAGAAATGATGATATTGTGAATTTACGTTGAAATTGTACTACAATAAATAATTATGATCGATATTGATGATACTTTATTATTACAATTGCAAAAAGTTAATATGATGAAATAGTTAAATGAAACGATTATCGAATTTGAACTAGATAACACATTGATAAGTCATGAACAGTAGGCTAGCACCTGCTACAATATATCATTATCCACTGCTTGAACATTCGTTCTAGACTACATGAAGATCGAACGGTTTATCACAATTGACCTATAGTGTGCATGATATTGATAAGTCATGGTTGTGCGTAGCATACCAGTATGCATTTCATGAACACTAATTCTAAACTAGGTAAGAAATCAATTTGCAGACATGCACGATGATACGCAGACTAATCATCTATATAGTACTGTATTAATCATACTTTACAAGTACGAGTATCTTTATTTTGTCTGCTAACGGTGGGTTCGTATTGAGGTTTTGCTGGAATAAAAAAACTGGTAGATATCGATGATGGTACTACTAGATATTAATAACAAAAATGCAAGTAATTAAAACCATGAATGTTAGAATGAGGCGGCTTATTAAAACTGAGTCGATAGATGATGATAGAGTACGCTATGCTGCAAGACTGCATGACCATTCACAATTAACTAAGATACGGGCATGGAACAGTTTATCGATCGAGCTTTACAGTATATGACATTGATAGTAAGTAATGATTGAATCTAGCGTATGTAACCATGCACATTACGTAAATATTGACTATAAGCTGAACGAAGAAGTACTTTACAGTTATGTGTAGTCTAATACAAATGTCTCGTCCATACCAAAATTTCAACAGAATCGAAATAGATCTCAAGGATGGCAATTTAGTATGGGTAGAAATTGCAAGTATGTAGTTAACATTTTAAGGTGCAATCTAGCCAATTGACAAGGTTGATCTAATTGAAAGATACTTTGGATAACGAAAATTTCTTAGCTGATAAACTTACTCATTAAGAATTCAAAGCCGGACAGTGTATTGGAAATGAGCTAGACATTACATCGATAAATGATGATGGTATCTGGTACATCCAGATGTGACATTGATCACGATCAACATTAGTCGTCGGTTGATAAATAAATAAGTGTAATTGATTGTTGTTGCGTGATTGCAATTCCAGGAATCGGCTATATGTCTTTTATTAGCTTAACTTTCACGTCCTTAATATTTATCCGCCTACGATACTAGCCATTAATTTGCAACTTTTTTTAGAGCTAGTAAATGTTGATGAGATTTAGCAGAAATTAACATGATAAATGCAGTAATGCATAGTAAATGTACCTGATACTACAGTATGTGCAAATAAATGTTATCAATCTTACTTAGGAATGTATGATTCCTGTTAGCGTATTTCGGTAAACCAATTATACTATAGGTTAATGATTAAGTAGCATAATAGAGTCAAGGTAGATATCGATGTTTGCACTTGTAATCTATTTGTAATATAAGAAGTTAACTGGGACTGTCTGACTAATCTAGAGTTGTGCATAATGTTTACTAGCTAAAATATTTATAAACAATTACTTATTAATGCTGCTCGTTTATAACGCTTATTTTCATTAGAATCAGTTATACTTTAGATTTACTATCAGGCTATTTACTACAACCACAGTAGAGATTAATGATCTTATTGGTATCTGTAAGCAATATAAGCAGTTAACCTGAACGGCACGGATAATGACTGCTCTGAGTGGCGCCGTTCCATCGATCATTTATAAGCATCATTTATAGCCTGAGTGTACTAGAGTGCTGTATTCGCCCATCGTAGATTAATTATACTAGCAGTTCTTTACAACCAAGCTAGATATTGTATCGATGATCATGGTACAGTAATGGTAAATACTTTGCATGAAAGCATTCAATATCTGCTGTTAATCTTCGGTTATATGCTGTACTATGCAGTTAAATTATTAATTTTTGAATTCATTACATCAGAGCATGATCATCTACTGTATATGATGAATAATTTCGTTTCTTGTTGATTTTTAACGAATATAGTAACGCTCGACTACGAAAAATACAATCCATTATTGCTATCAACAATTTTAGCGACAATAACTCAAATCCGATTGATGGAATACTCTGCATATTAGGTACAGTCTTAGATTCACAATAAATTTAGAGCGCTATGGAAATGATAACAACAGGTCATGTACAGTATGTAATGTATTAACTACTGATAAGTTTATTTACACCAGGTGCGCATTTGCAAGCCTTATGTCAATAACACATACTAGATATTCTGTCGTAGTTTAGTTACTTAATGATTAAAATTTTAGTCTGAGAGTTGTATTGATTGATACTATTTAAATCACATGGTATATAGCTAATTTCTGAATTATATTATTGTGCTAATAATGTTATAATTCTTCAAAAATAAATATTTGGCGATAACCATGTCTGGGCTGTGGACAAACCAAAATTAACAGGTGTTGATGGCAAGTAAGTCGATAGATTCATATCAGTTGAATTCACAATTGCGTAGAATAGTCAATTAATAAGAAAGCCAGCATAGCAGCATTTCTTTATTGATACGTTATAAGTGGCATTAGTGTAATTCTATAGTTTGAAGCAAGTGCAAAGAGTGGATACGTTTCTGTATTCTACTTTTCGACAATCTTTTCTGAATGTAATAATGTTTACTGATATTTTGCAGTCAAGAAATATACCTTCAACATTATTCATTTTACTAATGTTTTTACATTTATATCATTGCAGTTACAATGAAGGCACCAGACAACTAGTCAATTACATATTGTTTGATTACTGCTATACCATCAAGGATTTAGCAAAGTAAAATTACTGATTTCTTAGTATCATATTCTCTATTATAAATAATTATTGCAATTTAACATTTCGTAATTTGGTTTGCTAAAATATACATCGCCGTTTAGCATTAGAATTCCTGAAGAAATATTAGAGGGTAAGTCTTACGAATTTTATAAATTTTCTGAAATTTCTAGTCGAAAGAGTAATCATTACGTAATTTTCATGCATATTGTCCAAAATCCACTAATCTATTTTATTACTTTTTCTGCTGCACCAGATGTTGTCATTTTTGTCAAAGAAGATTGTGTCCATGTCTATTGCAATGCAAAAAATTATGAATATCTCATGCCCTATATTATCCATTGGAGAAATCTTCAGCTATATTGTTTATCTGAGTTGCAAGTAAGTAGTCAATAATATATATTTTATAATTGTTTTATATAACACTAATGATGACCATTATGAGCAAAAATGCAATCAGGTACATTGTATTTACACTGCTTACGCATGATTTTACAGTATGAAGATGATGAGGTAGCTGAAGAATATAAAATATGTAGTTTTATTGACATGGTAGGGGATTCTCGTCGAATCGGTATACCGTATGAAGGTATGCAAGCTTCGATTTAGATTTCTAAAGAGCTTTATAAGTTCTAATGTACTATTAAGACCGCTTATTTGATATTGCTGATATATATCTTATTAGGGAAAAAACCTTTAGATCCATTTGTTTTTGAATCATGGCCACTAATTCAAGCATATGCATATGAAGGAATCCGTGAAGGAGGGTAAATTGACGCCCTTATAGTTTTGAATGATATGCTATTGCGATTTGATCATGGAATTATTATAAAACCGAAAGCATACTGACAGTAATTGTGGTAGCCGTGTATTATAAGATTTGAATTGCCTGGGCATTTTCTTACTAACAAAATAACTAATTATTGCCTAAATTATGATAAAGGCGGGGATTTTTTACTATGGACCGCAAGGTTTGTGATTAATCGAAATGGTTGCATTACTTGGGTCTCTTGTATATATGAAGATAGAGTAGCACTAATAATTATGTTATCCGCCAATTTATGCTTCTTTGTCTTGTTTCTTTATGAATTAGTTAGTTGACGTGACACTTAGTCTCGAAAAGGAAGTGTACAATGTGATTGACTCAGTTCATCTGGAGATATTAATGTCAAAGGTTTTATACTTTTGTCAATTTTCTTACCGTAATTAATGTTGGATACAATAGCTTAAGATGCCGAAAATTTTACAAATGATACTTTTGTGCACTCTCAGCAATTGCCTCGATTTGAGCAGCTATGGTCCACTTTGTTGTCTAAGATTAAACTACTAGGGTGGGTAAAGATGTGGTGTTTATTACATTATTATTAACCAATTGTTAAATGATATCATTAGGCAAATTTAATTTTTTAATTGTGAAATTAATTTAGGAGCTCGACTGATACTTTAACTGAAAGCTCTTTATGTGAGGTAGGTTTATGAATATCGTGCTATGGTGTATTGGCAACTTGACGCCTCTCAGTGAAAGTCATAAATAAAACGTTATCTTAAGGCGTTCTAATTTGACTTTGTATTTATGTGTGAGGTATATTAGAACATATGGGCTAATTTTAAACTAATTTCATAAGATATTGGAATAACATGTAAAAAGGAATACTCCTTTCTCTGACGGCACGAAAGTATTTAAATTAATTCTTTAGCCTAGAATTTAAGTCCATTCTTGAATATATTACAATTGTATCTACTGAGGATTAAACAATGCCAACTTGTTATTCTCTACCGTGCAATTGGGCTAAGAAAAATGTAATATATAATTAATATTCGATAGCCTTTTAGGACCTACTACGATTACGGATGCCTTGGCAATACATCTTTACTTGACCAGTTTAGTATTAAAGAATTTTTATGTATAATATCTATATTTGATATCCTACTTAAGCCTACTAAATGTGTAGATAACCAGTTGACTTGATATGCTAATGATGTTGTAGAAGTGTAGCAGATTGGGGACGACCATTTGTTCAGTTCGGTAACCGCTTAACAAATTTAGCGTTAAAGAACGGATTTGAATCTAAGGATGTCATTAAACACGGCGAAAGTATTAATCGATGTGATGAAAGAAACAATATCTTATACATGGTAAGACTGATTGATATAGTGACTGACTTTTCGATGAAATAATACGTACGCATAAATGGCAACAATTCTTTGATGTGAGCTAAGAGGAGTATATTTGAAATTTTGAAATTTCAAGATTAAATACACCTTATGGTTATAGAATATATTATAGCCATCAGCGTGATTCAAAGATACTTTAATATATTGAATAGTGTACTTGACTCCATTTTAATCATTTCATGCAGAGGGTACCACTACAAAATGATTTAAGACATACACTGTAGACAAGAATGATTTAATGCTTCGCCAGTAAGAATTTATGATATATTGTTGGGGTTACTTTTTAATTATTATAATTCTTTCAGATCTGTAAAGCTATAGACCCCCGAACAAAGTTAATTTGTATCAGAACGTACTTTTTATCTCGATGTTATGTGCCGCACGGTACAGCAGGTAAGCAGTTGTGATTATAATTACAATTACCGATATTAGTTTAAAAAAAGTATTTCTATATAAAATTTGATTCATATAACAATTTAAATCAATAGATAAGAAAGACATTAATAAAGATGCCAGGTTAGGTTTTAGTGTAGAGAAATGTCAATACGTAATACTTCTTCATTTCCATAATTATAAAATTTTATATGATAATTCAAGAAATTGATATATATTCTTCGTAAATAAATTTCTTTTCTTATCTTTGAAGATTCCTTCATTCTTTGTACCACATTTGCATTGGAGTAATTCATGAAGCAATCAATACTTATACCCGATGTTTAAACGTGGAAAAGGTCGCCTAAGTATTTCTCGAAATTAGGCTAATTCTATTTTATTGTTCAACTGTTATCGTCATTTTATAATGATTGACTCGAAAAATGGTCTTACAGCAATGAAGACGTGTTTGAAATATCGAGTAACCGTGTATGTATTTTCCACACGGTGTTTAGGCACGCGAAGTTGTCATACAGAACATGCATCTTTTATTGCAAGAAAAGCATCTCGATCAATCTGCCTATACCAAACTATTACCGTTAGAGTAAGAGACTCATGACCAACACTTTGTTACTATACATAAAATTATTAATAGCTGCGAACATTAAATGAGTTACTTAAAGTTTGTGTCGAAAAGTACTGTGTACCCATTATTGCCATAAGAATGACCATCGATCAGCGCTGTTAATCGTCTTTGTATGATTTTTTTATTAGAAAGCACGTGGAGTTCCATATTGAATGTTACGACAACTATGGCAGGTTAGATATTAAGCGATGATATACATTTCTATATTTGGATACCATAGACTTTAGCTTCGATTCATAACTAATGAAATGATTATTTATTGGTTAGGAGTATTCATATTTCTAATCAGGAGCACTACCATCGCATAAAACTGGTTGGTTAAGAACTGTCAGTTTGTTTAAATAGTTAATAAAAGAATTACTACGTTGCGTTAAATCGAACATTCCCGATGTATTGACTTTGAAAAGTAATAGAATAATAATCACGACAGGCTTACGTTGCAATAACCGATATACCGAGTCTCAATAATTCAAGTACAACTTTAGGATCTGTGGCTTTTGCTGAAACCTTTGTCGATTCCGTAGTTAGAGTGTATAATTCCGGTAAAGATTTTTTAATTTATTGCTTTGTAGTTCATATTATATAATAATCTTTCAACGATTTATACTCACGATTAATCTCTTTGACATCTAGATAATAAAATATCATGGAAAGGAAAACACCTAATATTAACTAGAAATGTCCCAAAATATTTTTTTCATCCTGTACGTGGAAAAGTTGGTTATTTAATACTGTGTGATTTTCACGAATACCTTAAAATTTATCTCTCTACAGCCAAATATTTACTTTCGTATAATTGTCTTACATACAATATGTTTTGCTTCTTAAGGATTCGACAGAAGAGAAATCGTTTAATGAGATTAAAGAATTATTACAGGTTTAGCATTGCTTCATAGAAATTTCTTTGAAACTAGATTATATTCTGGCCATTAACGTTCTGTCAGATCAGCGATACAGCAAACTCTATGTAAGACTAGCGACTAAAAGTATTTAAGAATAATGAAAAATTTTATTTTGTGCAAGTAGACTGAAAACCGTAACTGGGGTAAGAAGTTGGCCTTAATGGAAAATGTTCCTTTTGTATGGGATATCGCAAATGTTTACTTGAATGAAGGTAAGATTTGCAGTAATAATAATATCTAAGGTACGATTGTAAAATGATCAAAAATCTATTTTAGGGTAAACTTACAGCCACGAAATTTATAACATTGAAGCTGTAATTTTTCTGTCAGGAATAGGTTTTCATACTGTATTGTAATAAAAATTTTAAAAAGGAGTACGAATTTTATGATTGGAAATAAAGTTATAGTTTTATTACTACAATGATAATATTATTCTACTTACACAAATCTTGATAAGAGGTTGTGTATTTTACTTGCAGTTTTGGTTGCGCGCTGCTATTTTAGATTTTAAGTAGTAGTGATATGATTCAATTTGTAACAACTTTTAACGTTGATATTTATAAAACTATTAAGCGTCATTGTATCATCCTCTTAGAGCAAGTCATCATATTTGAGCGATGTATTATTATCATCTGTAAAAATTTTGGAACATTGGTATTGTCGCTAAACGAAATTGAGGCGATCAAGTTATTCGATGGAGTAAGTTAAGAAATGTAATATCTAGATTTTTTAATATTTGAATAATGTAATGCATTTATGATAAATGTACTTCCACTTAGATGCGTTTATTAGTAATAGAATTCGAATTTTAATTGCATAAATGGACATGTTAAATATATTAAACGTGATGAAAGAATCAGGCTACTAATAAATACTTATACAGGTTGTATAGCGCTTACGTCATCAGCTCATTGATTAGTGAATTTTAGATTAAATCTATATGTACCTGTAAAGAATTGCTGTCATTTTATCTTTCTTACACATAAATTTAAATTAAAAATACGATCAATCTTGGATCACACACTTTAAATCAACGTCTATACCATTATTCTGACACTTGTAGGTATTTTATATCCGCATGCGCATGCTTTTATTATTTATTAATTGGATTTATTTTTTTCGGTAGGACTCAACCAGTACAGTTGCAATTTTGTTGATTAAATGTAAAAGTTCGTTACTTCATCATTTACCGATACCATTCATACATGATAATTTGGAATATATCTTTGCATTACCACCGAAAAGTAAAGCACGCCGGGAGTTTTATAATAAGGTCTGGCTGTACCTGGAATTGTGAATTATTTTTAAAATGTTAACCAATTAATTTTCTGCTGTCTCAAATTCTTACCATAAAGGTTTTGAATTCATGGAATTCGACGATGTCTTCGCGACCTCAAGTAGAAATAATGAAAGGTTAGTCATTGCAAATATGCAATAAATAGCTATCGTCTAAGAATTAAGTAATAGTGTCATTAGTGAAACGTTTCATGTAATCGTAGGATATGCTTGATGTATTATATTAAGCCATTCTAATTTATTTAATCGTTACTCCGTAGATTTACAGCAAAAGATAAGAAATGTGTAAGTATGGAGTAAACCATTTGGTTTTGATGCAGAAATTGAATTGTTTTTTTATAGTTGTTGAGTAGTTATGTTGCTAATTAAATTTTTGCTCGAAATTAAATAGGTACGACTTTTTGCAAAGTAGTTTGAATGTAGCTGGTAACAGTGTTTATCAGAATGCTGCTCAAAGATTATACGACTTTGCCAGGTAAATCGAAGCAATATGACATAACTTAATAGCGTGAGGTTTGTTGATAGTTAATTAGTGTTATATTAAGACAACGGAAATTGATTTTATCGTATTATTACACTATTATGTGCTTTTAGCTTTTGGCCTATTTTTGAATTCTGTAACTGTGCCACTAATATCAAAGAAGATGATATAGCATTATTGCAGTCTAGCAATCCACAGCAAGTAATGGAAGACACTGCCGAAGTATGTTTTATCTAAGCGAACTTAAAATTACATTATCCATCTAATGGAAATTATTTAAATTGTAACACTATTTTAAGTATTCACCATTGATATGAACGTAAGGTTATGTACTCTAAATCCATCATTGACTATGTTAATTCCTGGATTTCACTTATATTTATGTTTATGACCGTATCAGCTACTGACTATATGTCCTTTCGATTATGATTTCATGAATCTTTAAAACTAGATCATCATCACTGTAATCACTGGCATTCCTGGTTGTGGAAAGGAAAGTTTATGTACTTCATTAACTTCCCTAGCTAAAGAGAACAATAGGTATTCGCTATCCACTCATATAATTCTACAAAATTAAAGTTTGTGTTTTATATTATACAAAAAATAGAATAGTGTAGTTACTTAATTAATATTTAAAGTTGATTATTATTAATACGTTATAGGTGGATGGTATTGCGTCAATCGATTAACGACTTGAATACTTTCAAAGGAGAAAGTAATGTCAAATATTGAATATCGTATAGTGAAAAATATTCTTTAATAATTGATATAATGCCTTTATAACATACTAACGGGAACATTTGCTAAAGAGTATGTTACTAATTAATACGGATGCGCTATGCGTTTACTGGTTACAGAACTTCAGGAAAGGTTAAGTAATCTGATTAGCAAACACAAGAACTCTCGTTCATCGCGTCTATCTACTGGTAGAAGGATTAGGCTGCTTTTGGAGACGTCAGGGTTAGTTTGTTATACCCGAGTTTAAAATGTGCACTAATTAAAATGATTTATAATTTAAAAAAATGGACGTACATTCTGTATTTAATAACAACTGATTTTTCTTATTTTCACTGGTAGATTCACTGACATTGTCGATGTTATTCAAGCAATATTATCTCATCCAGATAAGACTTTAACTAAAAACCTGCGCATCGGTTAGCTAAGTTTACTCATGCGTGTATGCTAAATTGATTATAGTATAGTTAGTAGGAGTTACTAAGGGAAAATTAGTTACTGCTTGTGCGTATCAACTGTTTTTCGAAGGTATTATACCGCTGAGTGATACTCTTGCCGTCATTTCTTCTATTTAGGCGCCGTAACTGCGTGTCTTGATCATCAGAATTGCTTTATGGAGGGGAAGTAAGTGAGATAATGAAAGACTTTCACCTAATGATCGCAGTACTGGTAGAATCTTAAATAATACCTGATTTTCGCAGTAATTTTATTTGTTTCTCTTACACCGTTACTATGCGTATCAAGCCAGAATTGTAATAATAATTTGTAGCCTTTACACTTTTACATTTGAAACTCAATTTGCTATAGAATTAGATTGCACTTTTTTAAGGTTTCTTGATTTTATAACTGCTCCTCAATTTTTTAATTTTTGTATCATTCTTTTCTATTTAAGCCATATATTTATACAGTATGTAGCGTCAACTTACATGTGATTAACTGCGTTGTTGTGATCTTATCCTTACTAACTTAAAACAATGAACGTTTAACTTTGCAGAACTATGATGCCAAAATTGTTGGAGTTTTGTGCAACGGGTAAAAGGGCTTGTATATAATGCATATCTTTAGAGCTATGTTGACTGCTGTGTCGATTATTGTAGCTAAATCGTGTTGTTATAAAATTTATTGGGTACAGTATTGGTATCACTTGAGATTAGCAATAAGTGCTCTTGTATTAAAATTCTCGTTCTATGATATGATAATGTCAGGACGTTATTTTATCCTTTAGGATTAGTCAATAACATTGTCTTTCATGATGGCTTCGAGCAAAAAGTAAGGCATTTGTATTTTACAAATTTTGAAGAATTTGTGAAATTATTGCTTCTCCGAATTGACTAAAATTTTTACGCGACAATTTTTTACTTAGAAAGATCAATCATCTTAAATAACAGCATCCCTAATATTCTTCACACGTAAAATTAAAATTTTGTAGGATGAAGATATGTTGCAAATACAGAAATTAATTAGAACTTTAAATGTTGATGTTGCCTTTATTGCTGCTCGAAGTGGAAAAATTACGAGGTAAAATTACTATGGTGCCGAGATTTTGAATCAAGTACTGTTTATCATTGTTCTTCGCTCAAACTTATTTACTAATTGGACCGCTTTTAATTGCTTATAAACCGGATCTAGGAGTTCAGACATCGATTTGATTATTAGTGAAAATACGTTTAGCCAAGCCTCTCTAGCTCGGAAGCGATTATTACTTTATCCTGATATGTAAATTCTCCGGATTGAATAGCTGTAATAGTGCTGTGATTTAAAGCTGAAATTTGTTTAATTAAAAATAATTACTCTGACTAGATCTATCGGTGCTTTTGCCTCTGGTCAAACTCTACCTGCAGTAACTGAGGTTAAGATTTATATCTCTTGAGAAAAGTGATGGATTTTGGAATGCTTCTATTAATGCTGCAAGAGGTTTATTCTATTATTTAATTTTAATTAATTCTTATTTGTGGGTGTATTTAGCACTTTTTGAAATTCAATTTACCGTTGGATAAAGCCAAAATATTGAAACAATGTAAAGGTTGGTTTGAAAAATTGTAATTACAGTACGCGGTTAAATTTATTTTGTAAGTCGCAAAATTAAATTAACGGAAACATACCTGCCAATTATTGAAAGCATGGCGTTGCCGTTTTAAGCCACCATATTTTCGTCCGTGCGTATAAATTTTTATAATCATTGTGATTCATATCAATGAATTACTATTGACACTGTAGACCTTAGGGATCGCAATTCCTCTACTATCAACAATCAAGGTATAGATGACTTAGGATGAAATAATATTTTACATCTTGCATTCTATATGAATGCTCTAATATCTTGAAAGAAATGATAACATTAATATTATTAACTTTACTAAACTTATTAAGTAAATGTCTTTATTTTAGGCAAAATTTATCATATTCGCGGCTTGACTGAACTAATTGGTATGTAGCGGAGCTTTTGAAAATTAATGTCTTGTATTATATTTTACTTCCAAATAGTATGTAAAATATCTTCTTGCCAAACAACATGCCAATGCTTATTTAATAAAATAATTAAATTATTGAACTACCTGATTTAGATGTAACTGGTTATCATGAGATCGATTGTTGCCCTTATAGTCAAAAAGTAGTAATGCAATCTGTTGGTCATTTACCTACACCACCTAAGCCATCTGGGGCTGCACAAAATATGCAAGAAAATGCATCTAAATCATTTATGATATTTAGCGGTACCGGATTAGACGAAGGCCGATTAAAACAATGGCTGACAGGCTGTAGGCCGGCGGTAGGTCTAGTAGTAATATAGCTCTACTGAGAAATGTTGCAGCATTGTACATAAATATGACATCACCTGAAATTTAATGTACGACGTGATCCCATACATTCGATGTTGCAATTTCTTGCATCAATTTGTACAAAATTGATCACAAATGCATGGCTTTAATATGTATAACGATTGGTATTTTTTGGGCGTTTTTACCTATAGTTTTTATTTTTCAAACATATCGAAGAAAACAGATTACATTATAGTAATTAAATAACCTGCGATGCTTCTATTCATCGAGTTTTTGTCGGCTTTTACTAGAAACCGAAAAAAAAAGTATTAAGGACGAAAGAGTCGTTAACATCTGGAGAGGTACAAAAAATTCGTAATGAATTAAAGGCAAAACCATTGCCTGCTGGATGTTTTTATAATGGATTACAGTATGTTAGTATGGACGGTACGAAGACGAATCAGCACCCTTGTATCCTTATCTATTTTTTTACTTTGAAAGTGCACATTGTTGATTGAATTTAGTTAATAAAAATTTAAAGTATTATCGGTAAATGTGAGTAATTTGTGTTCTAAACGCGATTTATTTACATTTACGCGAATTATTGAGTACTCTTATGGTACATCACATAGTAAGCTATTAGCAAATAGATTTGATCTACCGAAATAGTTGATCATGTCTAAATATTTCATCCTTACATCAAGCAATTACTAGATTTTGAACAGCGCATTGAAGAATATCTCAAGAATATAAATGCAAGAATAGAAGAGCAGAATCGACGAATTGACGCAATTCCGGAAGAAGCATTATTTTAATATCTACTGCAGTAGTATTGGATTGATTATGGCCTCTAGAGATCTACAATGATGTTATTGCATCCTAATATGTATATTAAATTAGCAAAGGTAAAATATTAATGGATGGTGTTACAATACTTTATTGACCATTAGTCATGCTAACTTTCGTAGATATTCTAGCATTTTAAGCAATAGCCAATTTGATCGGACATTTAATACGCCAATCTTATCACTGCTACAAAATCCTACTATATTGTATTGATTTCTATGGCAGTAATATCTTACAGTAAACATTAGCACTTTTTATCCTTTCAAATTTTATTTACTGTTTAAAAATGATATACTCGTAAATTCCATACTATAAACAAGTAAAAACAGATGTCTCATTCCATTAGTTAAAAACATTGTGAAGTATAAATTTAACTTTAGTGTAATGTGATGATACCCAACTAAATTACCAATACGTATATTATATCATTATTTTTTCGTCGATATTGTTTACATTGTAACGTTAATGTAATTTATTGCTGTTTCATGAAGCTTACTGAGAGAAGGTAGCCACTGCCCATGAATCTATTTGTTAATTATGATATGCTAATAGCAGTATTGCTGTATATCTCAATAATCTCTTCCGCTATGCTTGATATGCACATATATACAATAATCGATTATTCTTTAGCCCTATCTATGCCCAGTGATCAAGCTGCTGTATGTTCATTATTTTATTGCCTGTCAAATTAATCTCATTATGTATGTCTAATTATTTAATTGATAGTTGAGATTAACTTCGTCGATAGTTTCATGAACAGTCATGGTAGAGTTGATATGAAAGTTAATAAAATATTTGAATAAATTACTAATATTCATTGTAGCTCTTTGCAAAGCAAGAGGTTAAGAAATTGAGAAAACTTGTTAAGTTAGCAAATAACACTGTGATGATTTGATGGCATCTTGTACTATTTTAGTTTAGTACAATCATTTCGATTAAGTGAATTGTAATTATAGGTATTACTTCTTGCGTCAGCCGGGTGATTACGAATGTTTTTGTAATATACGACGTAGATAGCGAAGGAGTTACTAAAATAGAGAAATTTGATCTAGCGGATTGTAAAATAATTCTATTGACAGCAGTCACCTTACTGTGGTTAATACTATAACTTTGATTTCGGTAACTCTATTTCTGACATGGAAAGCTTGTAACCATGTTATCATTCGTGCTATATCAACCTTTTCAGAAACCCAATAAATCGCCCGATCAACGCTGATGTGAAACGTGTGTAAAAATATTACCTACTTTGCAGCGGCTACGCTGTGATTGAATAACTTATAAGCTAGATTGTTTTATGAGCCGATTAATAGTTTACGTAAGATTAACTTATTTCTATCACCTAATCAATACCAATGTGAAAAGTGTAGGTTGAAAAACATCGCCTACATAGTGGCGGTTATGCTGTAGTTGTATATAAGGTATATATTATTTACGCATATTAATTGATTATCTATTTTGAAAGCAAATGAAAGTGATATGTTGTATGATTGATCAATTATGCTTGGACTAATAAAATGGTTTTTGCCGTTACATCTTAGCTACTGTACAGGTGTGCTATCGAATTTAGGATAGATAAATTATAGACTACGTTTTTATGTTGTATGATTGATCAATTATGCTTGGACTAATAAAATGGTTTTTACCGTTACATCTTAGCTACTGTACAGGTGTGCTATCAAATTTAGGATAGATAAATTATAGACTACGTTTTAATGCATAGTTAGGATGGATATTTGATATGATCGTATCCTACCATAAAAGTTCGGGGCATACAGTAGTACAATATTGTGAATTGCAAATCTTCCATTCTAAAAATTTTTCGGTTAAACTACTGTAAAATTGCTAATATTAGATTCAGTTGTTGAAAATGGATTTCGTTGAGGTTTGAGCTTATTGACAGCACACGCATCAAATTCTGTACGCTATTAAACTATATCGGATTGACCGTAGTCATTGTTAACTGTTAAACCTGAAAGCATGCAATTGTACTGTATATTTTCATTTATAATGCGAGTATGTGGAACTACTTTGATATTGACATTGAGCTCAGAAAGGCGTCTTTATCTGCCTAGCAGTCTTTGAACCCTAGGCCCTAGACTCTACTTTGATATTAAGGCAAAGTAAGAATTATTACTTGTAGTCATTCTATAGTCAAAGACGATTAATAATAACTCACCATATGTAAGGAAATAAAAGAATCAACTGATTTGGAAAGTATTTTACCTGAACTAATGAATAGTCTACAGGTTGGATAAGAGTATTGCCAGATGGTTAGCAAGACGGTTATATCCCACATTGACTAAAACGGAGTTATGGTCATCCTTTATCGTAGTGTTCTCGTCCGAGCTTGATGCTATCCATGCCTTTACGCGTATTAGCTGACTGCTGTGTCGTTTTGCGCGTATGATTATCACCTACTTGCATTGTAGTTGTATTAATAGTAATAGGCATGTTTGAAAGGATAAGTATGTTTAGTAAACTATTGGGCTAGTAAAAGAGTGTTGGGTAAAAGAAAATGAAAACAACGAATGCAAGATTAGATTGAATTTTTAATAGCGCTAAGAAATAACAGTGATAGTCACTACATCAAATGTTATCATTGCAATAAGAACCATTTGTAAAGGATAGCAAGGTTTGAACAGATATTATCAAAAGATATCTGATGGTAACATTTATGAATACAAGTTAATAGCCTTTTCCAAAAGACCATCCTTGAAGCCACTATTTTATCCATCCAGTCATGATGAGAGGGTCAGATAAATGGGATTTCATGATCAGGTCGATGATTTGCAGCTTGTAAATTGGCTACAATCCATTGCAATATAAGACAAGCAAAGTAGAGTATAGTTGAAACATCTTGAAAGAAGGTGACAAGTGAAAAGTATGCATCCATTGCAATGGCTATCCACTCACTTACAATAGTCACTAGGAAATGGATGTTGTCTCCTTTTCATTGGCTTTCTTCTCCTTGGCTTTTTTAAAGATTTCAGCAGCCTTTTTCTGCTCTTCTTCGTATCGTGTTAATTTGGCTAAGTAGCATATTGATGATGGACATTAATAACACTAGTTAACATGATATCCAATTCATTCCTGTCGACTCTATCATTTCTACACACTTGAATAATGGACTTTTATCACTACACATCTATCCATCCATTTCACTGATGCTCAATGGATGGATTTGATAGCCATTGATGACTGCTGGATTGACTCAAAAAAAAGCGACTGTAGTAGCCTTGGATACAATAGAAAAAAATTTACCGTTTCTGTTCACACCATAAGCTATGCCAACGAGCAATGCCGCATAACGGGAAAACTACAGTAAAAATAGAAATGTAAAGATTGAAAATGATGTGTTTGATATTAAAGTGGAAAGATCACATCGGTCTAGGAAATCATTTTCACTTACTCGAATTACTGGAGCGACTTCCATTACCAATATGGCCACCACGATCGGCAAGTGATGAGTCTGATGTCGACCGCATGCGCAAAAACAGCAGGTATAAGTTGAGTATAGGACAGCGTCTCCATGTCAGTAGAGTACAGTATCAATCCAGCGCTGCAGTACCAAGCACACTATTCTCATCGAGGTTGGCTCGACTGCGCAACTGTAGCATGATGCAAAACTGCAGTATTGCTGACCGCCGCAGTTGAGTACTGAACCATACAGTACATTCCACTGTGGTCGTTTACAGTACTGTACTGTACAGTCTTCGTTCAGTTCAGTACTGTAGCAAGCTGTACTGTACAGTATGACTCTTTTATGACAGTCCACAGTGCAGTACACTGTATGACGGTTGGTACTGTACACTGTACAGTAGTGTACAGTACTGTACTGCATTACTGAACTAATAACATTACTGTACAGTGTACAGTACTCTACTAAACTGTAATGGAACATGGTACAGTACGCAACTGCAGGTCAGTTCAGTTCTGCACCATGTTACATGACAGTTTGGTAGAGTGAAGTACAGTACAGTACAGTATGACTGTTTTATTACAGTGCACAGTACTGTAATCCCAAACAGATTGCATCCAGCAGTACTGTACTGTACTGTACACTAGTCTCCGGCATCTTGTAATTCTATTTTACTACCTACAGCATTGCTGAAACTGCTTTAATACTGTACAGTACTGTACTGTACAGTACAGTAGGTAGTAAAATAGAATTACAAGATGCCGGAGACTACTGTACACTGTACACTGTACAGCACCATGTTACATGGCTGTTTAGTAGAGTACTGTACTGTATACTGTACAGTACACTATGACTGAAATACTGTAATACTGCACGCTACTGTACTGTACTGTACAGTACTATATTACTGGGTTATTACAGTGAAAAGTACTGTAACAAACCAGATTGCATCGAACAGTACTGTACTGTACACTGTACAATATACGGACGATGTTGCATGACAGTTGAGTAGAGTACTACAGTATACAGTACTGTACTGTACACTGTACACTGTACACGATGACTGAAATGATACTGTACTGCACACTACTAAACCCGAATGGAACATGCTACAGTACTCTAGCATGCAGTTGCTGTACTGTACAGTACAGTACTGCAATTCACTACTCTACTCTACAGTAGAGTAGTGAATTTATTACAGTGTACAGTACAGTATAGTTGTACAGTACTGTAGCCCCCAACAGATTGCATCCAACTCACTGAACTAAATGTACAGTAGACTATAGAGGAAGAACTGTTTCCGTCTGTCCAGTCATCGATTACCTGATCTAGTTGAGTACTGTAGTTGCGTATAACTGTAGTGGTAGTTCTATCAAGCTTGACTGCGTTAGCCACTAGTTCCAGGTACGGTATACTATTGTTGCCCAATACACCATGCCATATGCAAAATGGATGCTCAACCGATACTCGTACTGGGATTTCAAGTCAATGTTGGCTTCCCCTATATCACTGGTAGTAAGAGAATGGTTGTCATTAGGATAGATCATAGCATTGCACAGTCTGCAATGGATTGTCTTACATCGCCAGTCTGGTCGTTGATTGATTGATTCATTTACTGTATTGATTTTACCACGCTACAAGTGCGGCTACTGCCTATTATCCGAATGGCGAATATCCGTGAAATCCGAATCCGCAAGGACGTCAGCAATCAGAGCAGTCTCAGTCTGTCATGAGTGCAACAAAGGCCTGCAAGTGCACTGTAGCAACGAGTAGTAACTGCAGTACTAAACCGTACTGTATCGTACAGTATAGTCTACACTTCGACAGCAAAGTACTGTATCCTCTATCACTGTACTGTACGATTGTACCATTGTACTGTACAGTACACTGTACTGTACCGGCTCAGTAATACTGCCCACAAAAGCTCAACCACACCCACCCATCGATCGCCTATTGTCAAGCGCTGCAAGCAGTCCTACAACCACGCGAAAATATTTTTCTCCAAAATTTCGGTCGGCCATTTAAATTTAAATTTGCCGCGACAATTTAAATGTCCAATAATAATTCAATAAGTAAACAATACTTTATACATGTCAATAATGAAGTCACAACTCAGTGCCAGGACATCGGACGTATGGAAACTGGCCTAGCAATTCAATCAATCAAGGGCAAGTACTACACAACTGGTGTAGAAAACGCTCCTTCCAACTGATCCGATACGATGGTAGCGGTCCGTCGAAATGAAATGTTAAAGAGAATATCGTACAACATCATTTGATGCCTACTATAGTCTATCCGAACGTCCGTAGTCGAATAAAATGTGTTTATGTACAGCGCGACAACAAACTGAAGAGCTGGCATCATGTTCTTCAGGGAATACTAAATTTCTTTTAGTAGTCGCTGATATTTTTGGACGGTATGGAATGAGCGACTTAGCACAAAAAAATTCTGCGGTACACTACACGACGATACTGTTTGGATAGCTCACGTAGAATTGATGCTGACGTAGTAGTAAAAACATCTGGTAAATTTGTTGGAATAACCGCAACTTAACAACACATTACTAGTTAAACTCATACTCGTATCCCTTATTATTACAACTTTATGAAAAACAGACAGGCACGATTCAAGTTTGCTTAACTAGAAGTCTACCGATCTTTTGCATACTTTTCTTCACTTATAAAAATTGACCTATAGTACAGTCGTTGAACTGGACATAGTTAGCAAATGACTGACAGAAGAGCTAAACGCCTTAAAATTATCAATTTTGCCCATCTAGGAAAAAGTGACAACATCTACTAGATTACTACTTACTTATACGGCACTTGAATCACAAAAAGTTACAAAACATTGTGCTGGCTGTGTACGCGTACGTTCTGAGTCGTACGTACAACAACGTAACGGTGTAATGTACAGTACATAGAAAAAAATGGAAAAAATGAACACTCTCCAAATGCTTATGGCCAATCTACCAGTAGTTTATATACATACGTTTTTCCATTATAAGAGACGCCATCGATGAAAATGATGATGTTCTAGCAATAATTAGCTTTCCAATACGCTGTGCTTCTCACTATAGTGCAAATGATAATTATACGCGTAAGCACACTGTTCGCGTATGCTTTTAATTTCTCCTTTTATTGACAGTATTGACGAGTACCGCGTATGTGGGGCGTTGCTCGTTTTAAGAAATGGAATCACCTATTAGAATTATTGTTGATAGATAGATGGATTTTTTTTAAAGGGGGGAAACGCTGTACGGGTACTAAAGGAAAAGTTAATACCGTACTACTATTATCGTTTAAACAGTTGCGTTATTTATACCAAATTTGAGAAATGAAGCATTAGTCTTGCTGTATTAAGATATCATAGGGCGAGTGCAAATGTAATAGAGAATGCTTTCCAAGAATCGTTCACAGATTCTTTGGTAGGTAATGTTCTACTGTTCCTTATAATTCCAACTTTGAACAACAGTTAAGCGATCAGTCAACGTCCAACAGTAATAGGAGCATACAATTTGGATCAATGATAAGCCGATATAGATCGATAATCTTCTGGAATTAATTAATTACAATGGATTTTTTTTAAGGGGGGAAACGCTGTACGGGTGCTAAAGGAAAAGTTAATACCGTACTGCTATCATTGTTTAAACAGGTGCGTTATTTATATCAAATTTAAGAAGTGAAGCATTAGCCTTGCTGTATTAAGATATCATAGGGCGAGTGCAAATGTAATAGAGAATGCTTTCCAAGAATCGTTTACAGATTCTTGGGTTAGTAATGTTCTACTGTTCCTCATGATTTCAACTTTGAACAACAGCTAAGCGATCAGTCAACGTCTAACAGTAATAGGAGCATACAATTTGGATCAATTATATGCTGATATAGATCGATAATCTTCTTGAATTAATTAATTACAATGTCGATATTATTATTCCAGCCGTGTCGTTAATAAATAGCCCTTATAATTTTGTGTAGACTAGTACAGAAATCCCTTCAAAAACAGTAATAGCTAATGTCACTGTAAAAGCCCATAACCTACCGTTGAGATAATTTCTGTACCATATCGCATAACATTAAAGCTATCTTTAAATTAAATCATGCATTTTGGGGATGGGTAAAATGTTAAAGATAAATCTTCAGCTTGAGGGATGTTATTTAAATTCAAAGTATAAACAATCAAAAATTAGCAAATATAATTGTATTTAATATGTAACCCCACAAGCTACATAGTTGAGCGTTATTTACTGTACGTACCTACCCGCATTACGCAATAACAATATCGATATCGTAAGTACGGATTGTATATAACTATGGACTATTAGAATTACCTAGTAGTCCATGGTCTAATTAATTTAAAAATTCCCCTACGTCGCACGCGTAATGCTTCAGTAATATAATTTGAATTACATGAATTGATTCCAGTCATTCAAAGCAACAAAAGATTGTATGTCATCCAATATTAGCCTCAGAAACTATACCGCAATTTTGGCTTAAATCTGATAAAACCAGTCTGACTTCAGCAGAAGCTAACAAACGAAATGACCAAATTTTTTGTTCATATTTGAGTACTTTAATAACTTTTCATCTTATTAATAACGCGCTTAATAACATTAAAAACGATTATTACGGATAAAAGTGTTTGTTTTAGTCTTAAATTTTCTATAAGGTTATTACGGGCACCAGAGTGAATTCTAAGTGCCGATGCCTTTTAATTCTCAGGCCTATAAATTACGTAAGTATAATTTGCAAGTTCCATGAACAATGTATTAAGAAAAAAAAATGCTACAAATGTCAAAGTTAATGTACAAGTAGTTGCAGTTATCAATCTTACATTTGTAGAGTGCAAAAATTTGCCAGTAACGCGATTTACAGTATGTAAAGAACTAATTAATATAATGTAACGAATATGATAAAATTGCAAAATTAAAGTAAAAACTGACATATATAACATTGTCTAAAAAGCTATCATTTTATGCTGTAGTTACCGCATCAGCGGTCGTTATTCAATTTAGTGTCAAATATAAATGGTGCAGATACTATCGATAATAATATTAATAATAATAATAATATTGATGTCAATTTTTGGATTATTTAGTTAAGAACTATACTTTCCAAGATACTGTATACTTGAAATGCATTTACTAAAAACCTACGACAGTATTTTCATAACCAAGTTTCACGTATGGTGCTTTTATCATAGGTAACATTGAAATCGATTTATAATAAACAGACAGTAAAACAGAAATTATCATTTACTAAGACAATATCAATAGTCACTAGTCTCAAGGCAGTCGTTTTCTATAGCCTTTATGTCAATTTCCGAATCTATCCCATCAGAATAAAAATTGGTAACATCATTTCCATCATTGAATTCATGACAAGAGGACACACTTTCACGAGGGGCATTTGAGCAGCTTATCTTATAGTCCACTGCCATTCGCCCAATTTTCTCAGCGGTATTGTATTGGCAACTACCTTCATCCTTTGCGCCCATCTTGTTTCCATCCTTAAATAATAAATTATTCTCGTCTGTCCTTGATCGGGACTGGCTCTATCGTACACAACATACATCGTACTTGAGAATTGTTCCCTATTGGCTTTGTTACATTCTTAATATCATGCCGCAATAACTTAAACGTATGTCCGACTACAAAGTAATTAATTGATGCGTTTACCTGATTTCCAGAAAAATTTAAATTTTTTATGCGATCTTCAATGTTATAGAATGCCGTCTACGGAATTACCGATAAAAGTAATAATTAAGTATCACACAAACGAAAACTAACAAACTGCACTAGTAGTTAATCGCTACATATGTAATGTATAAGTTATAGATTGATACAAATATAATTTTCAGTATTTCAATTTTAAATTAAACGATAATTTCTTGTAACAACTAGACCAAGACATCAACCTTCCTAAAATAACGAAAATCTGACGCGGTTACCTCTTTCATTTTCATAAAGTCTAATGCCGGGCGTACTAGTAGACCTTCGTCACTTCTTTGCCTTTTTAATTGGTGTCTCTTACTATCGTTGTTGTCATCTGTTGGAAAACACGGTTGAGATTTGCAACGAGTAACGGTAAATCTCTTTAAGTAGGTATTACGGCTACAGGGATTGTCATTCGCTTTATCTGCGGAATTGGCATTTTCTTGTGAATTACTTGAGCTAGTAGAGCAATGGTTCCACTCCGTACTGGAAAACATAGCATGGGATTCTGAAGCTGGCCTTATGATTGGTGATTGCGGCGGGCTTAACCGATTTGCCTGGTTATAATCGTATTCGCTACAAGTCAAAGAACTGGCTCTAGCTGAGCGTCTTTTGTAAGAAGATCCATTAGCTGAGCGCGGTGACTTCCAAACCGATGACGCGTAAGGTCGTAATATGATACTTTCGGTAACATTGCGATGCCTACCATGACTGCTACCGTAATTATTATTAATTGATTGCTGTAATAATTGAGGCCCACAAAATCGTTTACTAGCTGGCTGATCAAATGACTGTAAGATACTTATCGTTTTTCCTATATCAAGCATGGTAGGACTGCTAAAATTGGACCCTAGTGCATTGAGAGGATTAGGCGAAACCTGATCTTCATTACCGTTCACTATAAAGTAGCATAAAAATATATTTTAGAACAAGTAAAAATGCATTCTGAATAATTTGTATCATTTTAATATATTTCATGCTTAATCTCATAAATTAAACAAAAGAAGTAGGAATTTGTGCAGTTATAAAATTGTATTCATTTAATAAAAAAACACAATGTTTAAGGGTCGTTATCAAATATAAATTTGCATTTTATACACTGAGAGAAGGTAAGCAATAAGAAGTTTATCTTCCTTAATTGAATATATAGTACATACATACGAATGTATACAGTACATACACATGGTACATATACAGTAAATAAGTATATAAAATTTCTACATAGTACAATTATTTATAATGTATTGGCCGCGGTAACAAATACAGCAATGATTTACGAACGGATTTTGGACTAGAACATATTATTGATAGCTACAATTATAAAGTACAAGTGCGATCATCAATAAATAGTAATAGTTCTTGTATTGTAAAAGTAGGTATGATGGATAATAATATGTAGACCATTTTTATTTTCATAAACCTACGGCTGGTATGTTGATGCAGTTTATATTACGTACTACAATATTGGTCATTCGTTGGCGGATTTTAACGGAATACTGTCCAATATATTACTCAACTTAGTGCAAACTGACTGCGTGTTTATAAGTTTCAACTACTAGCAGAACAATAGCTTGGCCGTACTTAGAATGTTAGTCAATGATTTATGTGCACGCGATAGATAAACAATTTTCTTAGCTACGTTTAGCAATACTGTACAATCAGATAATCCTACTTTTATCGTCAATCCCTTTTTAGTCCATTTAGCAGACAATATACCGTATGCTACATAATAAGATTTATACAAATTATGATTTACTATACGTATAGTTCATAAATCTTTACACCATGAATGTGCTGATGTCGATAGTCATTGAGCAACAAAAACAATTTCTATTTGCCCATTTCTTGATTCTGTTCTTATTTTGGTACGTTTTGAAATTATTAGTCTCGCAATATTGACTGAAGGATAAATACTCTACAGTTTTACATCATTTGGGTTAAGAATAAATATTCAACAGGGTAATGTCTCTATCGATGATATCCGCGTATCACATCGGCACTGACTGACTGTTATTACTGTACGATATCATTGGTACCACTACGGCGTCGTTACATGCGGACAGTACTGTACAGTCTACGTTTAGTACCTTAACAATTCTTATGTTACGTATATGTATAACTGTATTTAAATAAAATAAAATAAAAATAGAGCAAACATAAAAAGTGACGAATACAACATGAATGGAGAGATCGTACTAAAGAACAAAATTAAATAAGGAACGGCTTATTTATTCATTTGGATGACAAGAGCTACTTCAAGATGAAAAATGAAGACATCGCTGCATTATAACTTTAACTTTTATTCAAATATTACTGACCTTTAATACGTTGTTGACTATTTACTGCGTCCCAATCATTTTCGGTGTCCAATCGGCGATGCTGTCGCATACAAAGGCCAAACAACGCAATGAACGCAATCATCGGTCCATACAAAAGGCACATGAAACAAAACAACAGCCAAGCAATAAGAAGGGGTGATGCCCCCAAAATTAATTATAATTACGATCATTACGATAGGCTGATAACTTGATAGATAAAAAAATATGGCAATAAAATTATTCTATTGTACTGTAAATCAGCATATCTACATTATAAACGTTTAAACAGGACACGATGGCAATGTAGTGCATTGTGTTTATAGGTTGGAAGTGAAGAGCAACAAGCAATCACTATTAAGAATTCTACGTTATGGAGAATGATTGTTGTAGCAATAGGGCAAAAGTCAGCGGAAAGTTCAGTTTCGCTAGTCTAATAGTCACATTTATATATATATATATTGGTGAATTTACCCTCAAGGGGGTTCAAGTTCTTATGGTACAGTGCTGTAGACTAATATATGGTCATTAGATTTGTCCATGATATCAAATTGTAATTATGCATCACCGCTTCATTTTATACCCTAGTCTAGCCTGTAATAACTGCGAGAATAATATACTACAACCCTTGGTAGTACGGCGTAGTTTTAGTAAGGTGAGAATTATTGACACTATTTCAGAGCACAGTACTATATTAGCTAATGTACATATCCTAATTTGCTTATTTAATATCGACTACTGTCTACTGTTCGCTATGAACCTTCACTCATTGACACAGGCCAGTGTCAATTTACCAGAGGTACAAAAAAATACTAGCAACAAAAGGTCGAATTTGATCCGTAACCCGTTTTATAAGGATAGTCTAAGTAAGAATCCTCAAAAGTTTCTTTTCATCCATTCTATGATGAGTCCCCTCCAAAAAGGCAGGCATTACGCGTATCAAGTCGCTTGGAAATTCTTAGCGACTATCATTAAAATATTGCTCGACAATTTGCATCCACTAACGGCGGCGCGCTTGTGTGTTCTAAATTTCGAGCTACAACAAGCATCAATTGTGCACAAATCACTCTCGCACTTCAGTAACGACTAACAAAGTAGCCTTGTATCATCATAAGGTTGCTGATAGTCAGTGGATTAAGGCTTCATTGCTGATTTACTTTCACAGCCTCGTTCCACAAAATATACATATGTGTCCAAGACCGCATTGACAAGCAGATCCTTCATCATATCACACGATGATGGAGAGATCAATTTATTGACTTGTAAGCACTATTTGGTTCAAAGTCCTTGGTCAAGGTAAGTAAGATGACGTCTTATCAATAATCAATTAGACACCTTGTGGCATTAAAATACTCAGCCGTTAAATATTCAATTTTTGCCTTATTTACTACCATTATCTTGGATATGCTGTCGGCTGTCGTTGTGAAGTTATACGTCACTCTCGTTCTGGACGGCACATTGTATAGCTTAATTACATTGTCCTCTATACCCTCTCTATACTAGGAGATGACGCGATCAAATATGCAGATTCTGCCTAGTTTAGTAGTAGACAATAATGCAATGTCCCTCTACATTATACAGTTTTGGCGTATTCTAGGTTACAATGTTCAATTATAATTATTATAATTATAATAATAATATAACTACAACTGTAAATCCCTGAACTGTGTTGTAGTTACAGCGTAGCATAGGCGTGAAAAAAAAAAAAAATCTTCAATTGAAATGCTGTGATCTCTTTTCACTGTTAGTGTGCGAGATCTGGTAGAATCGATGTTGTCGTAATCAATTACTTGACTAAAATGTAATGTGACAATCAAAATGATGATCTCATAAGTTAAGCTTGCTATTTATTCGATATTATCATGCCTCAGAAGTAACCAATTGCTCCTGTACGTACATATATATGGGTGAGATGGCAACATTGAACAATTTAGTAGTCTTGTTTATGCCTTGAGAAATGACTGATGGATTGCTCCTACTGTCAGCGTTATTCGGTTCTATCGCGCTATTATTTGCTAGTTTACACCCATAGTTAAGGCAGGGTAATATCTACAGCTTGTCAAAAAATGGACTACAGTATTGGTACAGTTGACCTGGACTATACAATGTGCAGCCTCGAGGTATTTCAACACTATATTGTGATCTTTGTTCATGCTTCACTACAAGGTGTAAATGTACTTCTTACGTATTTATGATTCCATCTAGCAACCAACATGATTTCTCATGTACTGTACTGTGGTGAACTAGACCACCATGACAAATGTATGTCGATAAGAACATTTCGTTCAAGGTGGCCGGCAATACAGTAGGACATTATCGGCAATTTTAATGCGCTCGACTCGATCGATATTGTACGCTATTGATATTTCGCAGACGTATCCAACTTATATACAGTACTGTGCTATGAAACAACATGAGGAAAATAAATGGCAAATAGTACAAAATCAATACACAGACTATACTAAAAACGAGTGATGGTTCTTTCGGTACGAGCACAGTCGTGTGCGGTTGCATATGCATAACTGATAGCAAAATATTATTTATTTAAAAATCATCCAGGTTTGACCGTAATGGCTGCATTCGATCGTCGACGACTGTGGTACAAATGGTTCAGTTAATGTAAACGTGATTAGAGTAATTTTTTCCATGTCCTTTACGGACTACAGTGTTTATTATACAATATTGATGCATCCGATTCTCAATTCTACTGCATAATCATGGTAACTAATAAGTCAATTTTGCGTTTCCTGCAGTAGCGTTTTAAGATAGCGTAGCGATCCTCCGATGACAATCATCAAGAGAAAAAACTATTGAGCTGGCTTTGATCGTGTCAATCTTGTTTCTACTATAGGACGAAAGCAAGAGATTAAGTTGATATAATCCCTGAATTTTCCAAACGGTGACACAACACCAAATGTGTGATGCTGGTGTTACGTTATCATGTACATTGTACAGCTCCTATTGGGTCAGAAATGACTCACATTTGCTATCACCACTGTCCCTTGTTCAAGTTTTAAAATCAGTATTCAAGAGTACAAGAAGTTGGATGGGAAAAATGGACATTTTCAACGGAGAAGAAGAATGTCGATAGTACGTCACTACCAATACAACATCGCAGCGATCGATTGGACTACAACATTAATGAATAACAATTCTTCTTCTTCTTCTCCAGTCAGACAACTTGTATCGCAGTCTACTGTACAGTACAATAGTGTGTAGCCCATGAATCGAACTGCTAAACAGAGCACAGTGGCCCATTTGCCTTGGCATCAAACAGAAACAAACAAATAAAAGCACGACATTAGCGTAGATGGAAGCTACAAGAGAATCAAGTAAGGGGGAAAAAAATGGACTGCATAGGAGGGTTGGACAGTGGTTGATCTAAAGCCGATCGTAGCACTGTACTGGCTATGATGTCCAAGTTTAGGACATATTGGAATAAAATGAAACTACAACACCGTCGAAGAGAATAAATCCCCCCCCCAAAAAATGATTTACCGTACAAGTTGACAATGTACTCATACTACCGTGTCCAAAGAAAGAGAGAGAGCAATATAGTCTACAGTACAACCTATTAGTACGTGTGTGTGTTGTGCTTGTATATATATATATATATATACATAGTCAGCATCGTAGAGTACGTGGTGAAGTGGAATCGTATACAACTGTATACTGTAGAGGGGAAAGTCATTGACAGTGATGCAAAAAAGTAATCCGAATGAACTATTTTGAGAGAGAAATGGAGGGCATTTCATCAACCTAGTCCGTATTGAAGTTTGAAATAGAGCATGCAATAACAGACTGATACGATCAACTAACCTGGAAAACATGATTCGATTTCACGTCATCCAAAGATTGACGCTGAAGTTGGCAAGTAAGAAAAGAAATCATTTTTTTTTACGGGTAGATCGTAATGCTTTCAAGTACTGTAGTACTACAGCACATCCACCAAAGGAGGAATAGAAGAGAGAGAGAAAATGAAGGCTAAATTTTTCAAACGTATCGTTAGATACAACTACAGTCTATTGGATAGCAATTTCAATGATCAATAATCGTCAACGATGGCCACTTTCTACAAAAACTGCCCTCGTTGCAGCAGGGGGCTATTGATAGATGATATATCGATCCAAAGAAGTAGCCAAGCCAGGACTGAACGTCTTGAGATTTTCGACAATGATATCGATTCTGCAACAAATGATATCAACATGGAAATGTTTCTCTTACCATAGTATCAATCACACTATACTCTCATTACCTCTAACGAAGACGTTGAGGCCGTTATCGATTCAGATGGTCGATCAAAAGTGGCTAAATAAGGAACAAGCCAGCTAAAAACTAGGACGGTGTTGGTAGTTGCTACGCTCTTCAACTGCGGACCTTTAATTAATTAATTCATAGAAAGTAGTACATTAGCGATCACTCCGGACTACTACAGGAGTGTGACAAGATTTTCAACTGTGCCTCAGGTATATCAACTCAATAGTACTGAACCGCACAGTCTGTGTACAGTGCAGCGTTTGCTACAGTACTGTACTGTACTGTACACTGTACTGTACTGTAAGCAATCTACAGTACGCCGTATTGTACCGTCAGCATCGTAGGAAGTACAGTACCGTACTGTACCGTTATTCACCTGTCAATCTTCTGCAAGGGTACGGTGCTAGTGTACAATTTATCTTAGCGTCTTTTTGGTAAGGGTATGGTTATGACAGCTATTACCATGAAAAATGAAAAGCTTTACTCTATACGATTACACTAAAAATGTGTGGAAAATGATTGGAAAATATCCTGATATTACACTTTGAAATATCCAATGACTTTCCACACACGCTGTACAGTACTGTATGTACTGTACGTAGCACGTCGCGTCGCAGGCAAGCGTGATCTCACCAAGCCACGATCTATCGACACCTGCATCATTTTGGCGACAATCCGGATTGTCGCTAGTTTCATGATGGAATCTACTGTCGGTCGATCCGACAACTTTCAGTACACTTTCCGTGAAATGGAAGTCAGTCTACTACAATCTGAGGCTCCTATTTTCACTCGTTTTATGGATTCAATTAGTGAGGCCGACTGGACGTAGTCCTGTACAGTATGTAATAA